TCTGCGCTCGTGGTGCCGAAGGCATCTGCCTTGTTCAAGATGACTCTGCGAGCGTCAGCCGGGGCCAGCGAGTGCATCCAGTCCGCAAAGCCAGTGTTCCGCGAACGTCTCTGGAGCAAGAACTCCAAGGCTGCGTTGCCAGACAACGCGGCCTGCGCCCCTGTGCCAGAAACGCCCGCGGCCTGCGGCCCTGTGTCAGCCATGCTGGCCACGCCGGCCAGCGGCCCTTCCTTCTCAGCCACAGGACCTCCCTTCTCGCTGGCCAGCGGCCCGGCGCTAGCCCGGCCCGCCTCGGCCTGCGGCCCTCCCTTCTCGCAGGGCTGCTCAACTTCGCCAACACTTAGATCTGCGCTGTCGGCCATTGCAACACAGAAAGGGCGCTGTCAAAAGACTGCGAGCAGAAAAAGCTACGACACGCATGCTTGCATCCAAACACTGGCCCCAAAAACAAAAAGCCAAACGCCGACAAGAACCCGGCAAAGACACCCGTCTAAAAGGTTACGTCGCACAAACCTGCATGCATAGACTAAACACAACAAAAACTGAACACTCTTGGCTGTAACCCAACCCATGCATGCCAAAGGTAGTCCTGACCACGGGCCGTTGAAGAAATCCAGGAGCTGCGCTCGGCCGGCAGGGAGCTCGACTTGTGCCTCGCCAGCGGCGGCCGCGTCAGCTGCACTGTCATCATCTTTCTTGGCAGCAGCGTCAAACATTGCTGCCATTTTTAAAAGCCTCCTGGTCAGCGACCTTGCTTCGGCCCACTCCGCCTGAACGCCAACGGGCTCGGACTCCAAGAAAACCAAGTCCCGCTCCAGCGCAGCGCGCGTTCGCCGCGGTAGGGCTTGCACCGCGTGCCGGGAGTTCAGCACTCGAGAAACACAAAAACAACCAGACAAATTCCCCAGCAAGTGCGTTAGTTGTTCTACCACGTTCCCGTTCCTGTGCTGCGCACATAAAGTGGGCAGGAATAAGTGGAAGGGTGCTGTCGAAATGCTTAAGCATTTTGATGTTTGCTGAATGGGAATCGCGCGTAGTTAGCGTACAAGTGTGCTCGGCTGCCACGTTGCATGGCCCGAGGCCTCCTGGATGCTCCGACAATGTTTTCCACATTGTGGCGCTATTCATTGGTGCCAAGATCTGCGGAGGTCGGACAACATGCTCGTCCCTGATAGTGGGTTGGCCGCCCGCCACGCTGGGAGGAGAGGCCATGGCCCACTGCGCATGCGAGCACAACACTGAGCAGCTGTTTGCCGGGTCTTCAACGCAAAGCTAGACTCGTCAAACATCAAGCTTCTGATGAAAAACTTCAAAGGGCGGGCCAACGAGTCTGCTGCGACCTTCTCACAGCTTTGTTCTTGAAACCTGCAAGCCGCCGACGCGCAAGCAAACCGAGCATTTCGCGAATGGCTCGCAGACGCGCCCTCCACCTCGCTCGCTACCTGTCTGCAGGTCGCTGTCTCGTGCCCGAACCCAGCCCTAAGAACAGCTTCGGGCGTCCAGGTCTTCCATTTCCTTTGCCTGTGGCAACCTTTCTGCTGAGCTCTGCATCTGGTAGCTGGTGATCCTGCGTGCGCGCCTGCCCTGTCTTGTTGAAGTGCTCGCTCTGCAAGACAAGCTGCCATTTCTTGACCGCAAAGCGCGCCCCAGCCCGGCGGGCCTGCAGATTCGCCCTTTGATTGCGTTGCCTTAGGCCTCTTCCTAATGGCTGGCGCCGGGCTTGACCCCGGCCGCGCCGGCGCTCCCTCTCTGCGCCTTCACCGCGGCCTTCATTGCCCTGCGCGTCATATTCGTTGGCAAGCTCTAAAACCTGATCCAGCCCCAGGGCAGCCATTGAGCCAAAGGGCAGGCTGCGATGAAAATGCTTACCAAAGAGCTTCAATGTAACTCCTTCAGTATCTCGCCAAGCAAATGTTTCCAAGATATTGCTTCTGGATTAAGTGACCGGTGATGTCAACAACCATTTCATTTGACTAACTTGCTGCCAAAGAAAAGAAGAAATATTTCATCATGCCCAAAAAGTTGTTTTGGAAACTTTCTCATTATTTGTGAAACTTGTTTTTAATTGAAAAAGATGTTTCAAAAACTTGTTTAGAAACAGTCATTCTATCAAAAGAATATTCAACATAAATATGATTGTTTCAAAAGAACATTGTTGATTTTGAAAGTTGTTTGTCGCACCCCTGCGTGTGGACTACCGCACAGGCCTTTTTAAAAACGCCTAAATTACAACTCACTCAGATCCCTTCACAAAATGCCCTTCAAGAGGGCTGATGCCTCGCGTCAGAGGCCGGTGTCAAAGCTAGGGACCCTTTTGACTCACTTCAACGCCACCAACATGAAGCTAGTCGAGGAAGTCGAGGCAAAAGAAAGGACAGATTCTGTCCGCAAGCAAACTTAGCGATTCTTACATTGATGCAGCCAGCGTCTGCTAGAGAATCAATAAACCAACAAATGTTGTAGTGCGTTCTTTTTCGCACTTTGTCTATGCACTCAAACTGCAAAGACCTGGTAAGCTGCTCGAATTGCCCGGAGGCTTGGAAACACTCTGCTCATCGGACCGGGCCCTTGGAAAGATGTAAGCTCCAAATTGGCGACGGAGCCAACTGAGATGAGGATCCCTTGGAGCGCTTGGGCGTGGGATCAAGCCAAGCGGAAGCTATGAGGGTTACGCTTCTTGTTATTAAATATCCCAGATAGACTTAAACCCGGAGTCGGCCGATTTCCACAAACCGCGAACTCCTGGGTTTGAATCTACCCTGAAATGATCAAAAAGGTGGACTGATGGGAAGATTGCTGGATCTTCGAAGCAGAGTTTTCAGCTGTATTTCGTTTTCGGACAGAGATGAAACCTGCTCTGCCCAACGCAAGATTCGGCTTGCTGACAGGATGTCCACTGCCCCGAGTCCCTGGGTTGGCTAGCGGAGCCCCTCAGCGACTCAGCGACTCAGCGCCCGGCCCCGAAAAGGCCGTAGTAATCCGGCAGGCTGGTCGCCATCACGTCAAGCCATGGCGTGATATCGCGAGTCTGTGGGGTGCGGGGGGGCAAATCTGGCGGTCTCACGAAACTCTTCTGCACTTAGTTGTTTTTCTGCGCTTGCAAAGAGTTTGGAGGGAAGAGAATTGGGAAGGGTGCGGGACGCTCCTCTCGCCTGACCTAAACTTTGGGCCTGTGCGCAAAAGCTAGCGAAAAAGGGAAGAAAAAGGAACCAGCCCAATTAATCTGATGGGAACATGGGAACGTGCTTTGAAAGATCTGCTCTTGTTCTCAATCTGAACCTGGCTCTTTCAGGGTTGCAATTTTGCTCAGGTTTCCATGCCGAACCCATGTGCGCCCTTAAAATCTGCCAAGGTTCGCGCGGAGACGAACCTTGGTGTTGAGCCAATGCTGGATTGGAGCACCTCATGCTTAAGGATCGCCTTTTCTGTGATTCGAAAGTGGGATTCCCATCCCCGTGACTCCTTGCTCAATTCAAAGGAGATTTGCTGGGTGCAGCAGGTGGCGCTAGAACCCAGTTGTCCACCACCATGAGCATGGATGTCTATTGTGCCAATTGAAGGACACTCGGAGAACCACACAAACCTGTCATGACAATTTCAATGGGTGGAATGTAAGCCAACTGGGGTTTGGCAGAATTAGGGGGGCTTTTTGGTATCCACTTAACGCGGCAGGCAGATCTAGGCTCCAAGACGCGGGCTCGGTCTGACCCCCCGGATGGTTCTTACGGCCCCGGCTTTTGTTTAAACTCTCGGGTCTGGAGCTGACTCAGAATACGACAAAGGCATCCATGGCACATTGGGTAATACAGGGCTGTTGCAGGGCCATCCAAGTGACATGCCAAAGAATAGCAATTTCCTGTAGATGTCGCTGCCATTGCCGGTTGTTGGGAGTAGGCATTTGACTGCCCGCTGCCAAAGCCGACAAAAGAGAAGCTACAGGGCATGACAACCAAGAGGGCAAGCTTCTGCAGGCGTGCAAGGGCGCACAGATCGTAAGTTACCATGAAATTAAGAATTGCGCACCCTGGTGAATCCCATTGCCATTGATGGTCTGCATATCATTGCACTCACACCACGCAATGCTCATGCCCTTCCAACTGCTTCACATCCGCGCCTAATACACACGAATTCTCAAGATGAGCAGGTACTGTGTCGAAAGCAACTTCTGCGATGACTTGTTTGTCCATCCTGCAGACAAAGAAACTGGGTATATACCGAAGAAAGCCTATCTGTGATGTCTACTCACTCATTTCCCACTGGTTGAGCCACGCGGACTGTCGGCCATACTTCAGGGAACTTGGAGGCTTGGACTTCGGGAAATGGTTGCACATGACTCGTTCTGCCTCCGTCAACCCGGTCCGGCCCTCCATGCATCGAGGACAAAGGAAGGCAATCTGATCTGTTTCTTACATCCCTGCCAATGAAGAGCTGGTGCAAAAGAGCTTACTCAACTCATCTTTTCTCCTTGCACCAGTGAACGCAAGCCACCCTGAGCGCTAGAATCGCGCCGCTTCTTCGCCTCGCGGCCTCGCGTCACTAACAGTGAATGCACGACGAGCCTGGGACCTCAGACCGGGCACGTGAACCCGCGTGCTTGAAATCCGTCGGAGCTGCGGATTCCTGAAAGATTGCAAGCAAGAACTGCACATGCACCTTGACGGCCGTTCCCTGCCAATATTGCGGTGGCATGTGCCATCTTGTCAGCTTCAGGAAGCCTTCAGCTTGTGAGCCGGCTTGGGGCAAAACGCAGCATCAAAGCCTGTTCGACCAAGTGCTCCGGACGCGGCCACAAACTCAGCCGCAAGGCCCCTTTTCAAGGAAGCCTACGCATACCATATATGAGGAGGCTTCAATTCATGTACAATCTCATCATTTCATCAGCTAGCTGGCGCCAGATCGCGGTCTGCGCTGTGGATGGAATCTCCATTGCTGATGGTTGTGGAAAATCACACATCATTCCCGTGATGATGCGATCACTTCAAAGAAATGTCCCTGGCATCACGGAAAGTTCCAGGACTTCATCCACAGAAAAAGACCAGCACAACAGTCACCGAGCTCAGCCCAAACCCAACCTCTGCCCAAACCCAAACCATGCCTCAATCCAGAGGCCACCGATCTACAACAACCATTTGCCGTAAACCGATTTTCCCCAAACCGCCTCACACCTCTTCGATGGATCCATCCGCCGCGGCCGCCTTTTGCGCGCTCTCGGCGGGTTCCGGGCAATCAAGCAGCGTGAGGTCCTCGTGGCGCAGCAGGAGCATCCTGCCTGCCGTCCCCGAGAGTCGGCGAAAGATCCCATTTCCTCATGCAGCCTCCTGGATCAGAAGTTGAAAATGCCCAGCCTCCTGGATGCATCCCCAAAAGGTGCAAAACATCGGGGCAAAGTGAGGTGCAAACCCAAAAGGGGGAAAATCTGTGGAGCCCTGGGCAAGGGCGATGCTCGAATCAAATTGTGCCCAAAGAAACATTTGAGTTGGCCTTTTGGAAAAGGCCAGTCAGAAAGGGGGTCCCATTCTCATAACTTGCCCCGGCTTTTTAGGGAGTTGGAACCAGGCTGAACCATCCCTTGTTCACACAAATGTGGATCTGGTGTGTCCAGAACCCAAAAACACATCCGAGCCGGCAAGAATGGTGCGGCCAACCCAGGACATGAAGAGGAGCAAGAAATGGTGTAGGGTTCTTTGTGCTGTCTCAAGATGCGGAAAATGGGGACCCCTGAGCCGAAACAAAATGGCGCGTCCCTTGTGTGTCCTTTTCGCAATGCAGAAAAAGAGGAATTACATAGGCTGATCAACCGCGGTCAGAATATGAGGTTCCCACAAAGGACATGTGAGGGAAATTTAGTGTCCCCTGTCCTGAGCCCTCGCTTGAGAGCTCGGCCACTGAACCACGAAGAACGGCTGCTAAGAGCAACAACGGCAACACGCAACCCAAAACAACCATGCAAACAAAAAGGCAAACATGTAAGGAAGCATGCAAGCATATGAACGGCCGATGCTAACATGTTGACACTGAATTCTGGAAGAGGCAAGGGTCGAGGTTCAAATTTGTCAGGTGCAAATACGCCAACAGAGGCCATGCGAAGGTCATCGTATCTTCTTCGTGGCACCTAAGAGTCATTAAATAAGCTGTGCCTGAAAACGATGAACTAACCATATCAATGCTAAATAATGAATCGATGTATACAACGGCTTGCGATGGAAGGCGAAGGGCCCGTTTCCCAAGCCCCGCGCCTGATATGGTGACGCGCTGGTGCGGGGTCTTGCCAGAGCCTCAACTTGATTGGCCCAGCTGGGTGCGGACCGTCAAAAGAGCTCTGGGCAGAGACCCCACCGCTTTCAGCTGTTTCCTACAAAACGTGCTGAAACAAGACGGCCCTTTTGACCTTTGGAAAGTGGCACTTTCGAGAACGAAGCATTTGGTCGAAGCCCACAGTTCAGCTGAAAAGCTTGAGGTGTTCCTGGGTCGAAACAGCAGATGGTCCCCCGGAAGACAAACACAGAAGCGTCGAATAAAACGTGACCCACATCCCCAAGAAAGGTCTCTCCAGAAACGGCATCTTTGTGGGGGGTGCAACCTGGTGCTTGCGCGCTGGGAAGAGACGTGAAGCATCGCTAGCTTGTCTTTGTGAGCTTACTTTTCAAGACAAACACCGCCATATGCTGTCGTGAGCTTGGGTTCTTCAAGTTTAGGCAGCTCCAGGGATTTCAACTTTGGAATCTGAACTTCCTGGGAAATTCCCCAGAGGGTGTCTCACTGACTTCTTTCCCAAACAAAAAAAGTCCACCCTCGTTTTTTGTACTCGCAGAAGCCCAAAGGATGAACCAAACCTTTGAACCCCCTCTCTTCCCATCTCGAACCGAGGCACTCAGCTGGAGCATTAGCCGCTCGAAGTGATGTTGGGTGCGTACGTGTGATCTTAGATCGGTCGTCGCAGCGCTGCAGACACTGCACACGACCTGAGCCACAATCAAGGCCACTGTTTCAATGCTTCCTCTACATGACCCGCACCATTGGCGTGGGAGTCGCTGGCTTGCCCGTAAGGGGTGCCTTCAAATATGTTGAAAATCGACGTGGGCGTTTCCAGATCTGGCTGGCAACACCCTGTCGGATGGGGACACCAACAGAAACCCACTGCCCTTGCCCCCCTCCCCCTCCCCCAATTGTTGGCAAACATGGTTGGAAAACTCTTTCGGCGCCAAGTCGATTGTCTAATCCAATGATGGATTTTGGGGTTCCAGGCTAAAGTGCAGGAGAGCGTAGTGGGTGACTAGGCCAAGGTGTAATTTTGGAGAAAAGAACATCCACTCTCAACATATTGTAATCAAATAGGGGGAACACTGCTGACATCCAAAAACACCGATACAAACTGGGTTTCCTAGCTCTAGGTGTTACATTTGGTTTCTCCTGACGGGTGTGTCTTTCTTTGAGGGTACCTTTTTGTTAGGCCAGTTCAAAGGGAACTCAAATCCCCTATTTCGACACAAGCTATAAACCATCTAGTCCCCTCCAAGCTGGAAACGAAAGGTCCCCCCCTACCTGTTTGCCCAACAATCATGGGAGTGGATGTTTTGCGGCTTCCGCAAGAGGAAAGCGGCCTTCCACAAACCTCCTGATGCTTGGTGGGGGGAGGCGACTTCAAAGCTCCCGCGCAAGCAATTCCAACTCAATTATCCTGAAATTTCTACCGCCTCAACAATCCTGGCCCATCCCTGGGCTCAAACATCCCTTTAAAATTGTTTGAACCAAATGGCACTGGTCAAATTTCAGCAAATTCCCTTCAACCCCCCCACCACAGGAAAGTTCACGACCTAAAGGGTAGCCGCCTTGGCAAAAAAAAACAACTACCCTTAGCAGAAGGAAGGAGCCCCAATTCAGTCCAGAGACCGTCAAATCCACCACTTTCCGCAGATTTTCCAGCTTCTCATGCGTGGCGACGGACTTGCACCTCGAGGCGACGCTTCAAGCCGATTTGAGCCTGAGGCCTTCAGAAACGTTTGTAGACGATTTGTACTTCAGAAAGTCTTTGGTAGTTGCCTTTGGCGTGTTTGTAAATGATACCCTGGGAAACAAGGTAACCACTCAAGTGACCTTGCTTTCGGTTTTTTAAGGACACACTGGACAAGGTGCCTAGGAAGTTGCTGAATTGCAGGAGTATTCAGTTGAATCAAGATAAGAACAGCTCGCTGTGTTTGATTTCAAGCAATCCCAATTCTGATCCAAGTAATGTCACCACCAACAAGGTAAAGAATACCGCACGTCGTCAAGTAAATGGCGGACGCACTCCTTTTGACCCTCGGGCAGCTTCGGATGCGTTTGGTACCTTTGGAGAACTGAACACATGACAACTGCAAAATGTCATGGTTGCCAAAGGAAGTGAACCTCATGAGTGGAAGCTTTGCTTGGCCATGGGTTCCTGAATATGTGATCTGGAGGACAGACAACGTCTACCCTACACATGTAGCAAACTACACTCAAGGAGTCCCTTCTCAGCTAAGCATGCAACATGAAGGTTACTGACCAAACATGTCCTGCAAGTGGTGGTTCAACTCCCCCGTCCTGCGTGCTGGGAAAGGTATTGCATATGCAGCAAGTTCAAGGCAGCTGGCCACTTCGCTCGTGCAAGGGCCTGAGTGAAGATATCAGCTAGTTGCTTATCAGTGGCTATATACCTCAACTGGACATAATCATCTTGCAAAACTTCATACACGGAACCTAAGTCTATCTTGTGAGTTTTTGACAAGTGCCTGAGCTTCGGTGAATACCCCGAGTGGGCGATTGCTATGAGAGCTGAATTGTCTTGGTGGCAGATCAAGCCAACCGGTTTATCAGCAAGTATTTGGCACAACTCTTGCACAGGCGCTTCACCGGATACGCCGGCGTCCAAAGAGATGATTTCGGATCGTGACGATGCGGTTTGTCTCCAGCTTGCCAATGTCAATGGGAAGCATGAGTTCAGTTCTTGAAGAACCAGAACCATTCCGCTTGTCGACTTTGAATGCTCAGTCTCTGACGCATGGTCCGCATCGGTGTACAAGTTTATACTTAGCGACTTGCAAGGGTCACCGACCCAACTCTTCAACGAGAGATGTGGAGTCGTATACAAGTAACACATAAGCCTGAACAATCTCTTGTTGTCGGCCAAGCTCCAACATGTCACTTTCCTGGTTAGGTCGTTGATTGGTTTGATCAGATCCGGCCTTGCCAACCTGGTCGTCCCAATGTGTGACCAGAATCGCGCGGTGATTTTTCCTTCAGAGTGGTCATAGACATGCTTACGGCCGAGAATGCGATCCACTGCAGTTGGCGGATCTACTTCAAGGTGTTCCTCAATTTTGGTCCAGAGACGCTCCACTTCCTGGCGAGGGCCTACAAAGTCATTAAAAGGCGTTCCTTTTTAAAGCAATACGAAGACTGAAAGAGATTGTCAAGGTGTTGACCTCCTAGTGATGCCATCACTTGTTTGAATTTAGCATCCCAGTGGAAACCGGCTTCTGGATGCCCATACAGGCTACGGCGTAACCTGACACAGGGCCGTTGTATATGTTGGAACTCCTTAGGCGTTAGTTCCATCGGAAACTTCGCCCATGTAGGAAACTCTGGTGAGCAAGGCGCAGGCTTGCACAACGTCTGACATTTGAGAAACAGTTCCCTTCACAAGATCCGTAAGACAAACTTACATTTATTCCAGTCAAACCTGTGGTGCTTACCTTGAGATCCTGCAGGACCGCTAGGTTATTGGATTCATCCCGAATGTCATCACCTCGAAAAACAATTCTGGCTTAGCCGTGTAAGTTCTGGGGTTTCAAAGTGCATGATTGAAAGAATGTTTAGACGTTCTTTTCTGGCAAGCGAACAACTTCATCGTAGGACGCTATTAAACCGTTTGCCTCTTTGTCAATGGCTTGCTGACTCCTGATAACCCACAAGTGATGCACGCCTGCAAACACCGCGCTCTCGAGTTCAGGCACTTGGCACGTGATCATGCTGCTTGAAAGCGCAAGTGGGCATTGCAGGAACGTCCTTGTCAGTCACGGACGGGTACGACGCACCTGTTTAGGTTCTTGGCCAGCCTCCAAGAGAAGTCACCACTCTCCACAGTTTGCGATGTGGCTTTCCTTCGGAATCTACCAACCCAAAAACACACCCGGCGAAGGTCGCCTCAAACAAGTGATACTTCTTGATAAACTTGTTGAGTTTTGGTATCGACCAACCGGCACAGTTCTTCGGCCACTCGAAGGCAACATGGCCCCCTTGAGCAAACACCTTTTCAGCGGCTGCCAAGTAGTTTTCCAACATCCTAAGGCTTTTGCGCTGATTTTTGCGCAATTTCTTTTTGTAGCTTTCACCGTACAAGTGCACACACATATTCTGCCAATTTGACCACGGGCTACATGGCAAGGAGCCCCACAGGTCAGCGCCAGGGAGCTTTTCCAGCATTTTCAGCAGTGATTGTCCTTGCTGACGGTCAGACATCTCAGAGTTCTCAGCAGAAACTACAACAAAACTCAAACATCACTTGATTGGTACCGCGTTTTGATTTTGATTTAGGATTCAAGGGCATGTGTTGACAAACGCTGTGCGCAAGTCCGTTTACGGCTTCTCGAATGATTGGTTTGGTAATTTGATTGCGTTGCAGAAACTTTAGCAGTTTTGGTCAACTGGCTCCTTCGGGAAGAACATGCCGCGGTGAGGAGAGCCGTGCTGCCAGTCGTCCTCATAGGTCGAGCATCGCTCTCTACATTTCCATTCGGTTGGTCGATGTGAAGTTATCTTGTCTGAATCAAAGGCACAGTAAAAGTCGCTTTCTAGGCTGCACATGGATCCCTTTCCAACACATGTTAGTTTTCATCGAATTCCCAAAAACCCTTTTCATTTTGTTCGGGGTTCGCAGCTGGACATGCATTTGCTTTCTGCTGCAAAGCGGGCATTGCTGTACTGGCGGGAGCAGATGATCGCTTCTCCGCCTCGGCTGCTTTTTCATGTTCAAGCAAGCGAGTGAATCTTTCATGGCATTCATCTGAATGGCTTCTGCAACTTTGGCACATCCTTTACACCCCGGAGTCTTGCAGCCTCGTAAGCTGTCAAACCTTGTTTGAAACTTGTGGTCTCATCAGTGTCATGCGGATGCACAGGCACTGGTTGCGAAATTGATTTTGCAACACAAAAGTATTTGATGGGTCGCGGGGGTGAATCGCTCTTGTTCCCTCCTTGATCGACCTGGTTAGTCTTTCTAATTTTGGGGTTGTGTGGAGGATCATTCGCAATCCCGGGCGCAGGCAACCAACCAGGGTATTTTACCGCCTCTGTGGTTTCAGCAGCTGCCTCAAAGCAAAACACACAATGCGAGCGCGAGTTCCACCGAAATTTTGAAGTGCTTGGATGTTGCGATCTACAGTTTAGTCATCGCAAAGGCTTCAACACACCCACTGTAATCATCATAACAAATCAAACAGGCTTGTTCTCCTTCTGATCCCTTGGTCAGGTCGGAGCCAAGAATGATGTGATCAGCTGGCCAAAATTCAGCGGGGGAGTTTCCTCGTCCTCCTTGTCTGCCCCCTTCTTACCGCGGTGCACTTGCTGAATCATTTTTGCCCTACGACACACTTCGCAGTAGCGCTTTTTAGGAAAGTGAGTGAGGGAATGTTCCAACGAATGGGCTTCTTTTATTAGCTTATCCCGCAAGGAAAGCGTCCATTCAAGGTCGTCATCCGAGTCGAGAGGCTTGTCCCTTTCATTGAACCCTACATCTTCACACAGAGATAGTTCATGCCCTTCCCAAAATGAGGCAAAACTTCCGGCGTCAATCTCAATGCTTTTGGCTCTGACTTTGGTTTCGACAACTGGTTTGCGTTCACCTGGCATTGGAGGAGCCTCTGGCGGTGGCGCTGCTTTGGGCACCCCGATTTCGACTCTCACAGGTCTCGGGGTTTCCACCTGTGGCGGCAATGGCCGTGGCGGGTGTGCTATGTCGCACGCAGGTCCTTTTGATGCGGAGCTTGGTTCAGCAGCAGGGTTACCTGATATTGGCGGTACATCACAGCGTTCATCTGGTTTTGGTTTGATGCCGAATTTGCTCACATTTGATGCGTTTGGCTCACACACGCGGCCTAAAGTACAAACTTGTTTCAATGTCCTTAGGACCGCCTGGGATTCTAGCAAACAGTTCTGCTCCTTTCATTCCTTGCACATTTTCCTCGGCAATTACTTGGCCTGAGTTGAGGCATTTTGTCACAGGCTTCACAACTTGGTTCCAAGGTGGGCCGCCAATTGAGTGCGAAACCTTTTGGCACCTCTTCTTTTCTTGTCCAAGAAGAAAGGCTTGAAGCTTCACACGTCATGGATGGCACAGTGCTATTGCCTTGACGCACAGGATTAGCGCCCACATCGCAGCTCAGAGTTTCATTTTGAACCACTCTATCCACATATATCTTAGCTGATTCATGGCAATGGAATGTCACATCCTGAATGTGATCGGCCTTGATGAAGAAGAATGGCAATTGACCAGGGAACCATACCCAAGGCCTTTGATGCTCATTCACTTCAAAGCAAGCGGACACCTCAATTTCCCTTGTATTTTGATTGCAATCAGAACCCTGCCGCGAACCCCCCCCCCAGTAGCATCTTAGCTTCTCAGGCGGGTCTATGAAATGCTCTGCAAATTCACTTGGCAGGCCCTTCTTGGCAAATGAGATTTCGTCCAGCACCACTGTCAATCAAGAAGTCCAGACTAATTGTGATGTTGCATATTTGATCGAACAAGCCGCGTCCTTCAGGCTGAACCGTTCCGGCCGGCTTCGGTTCCTGAACTTCACAACCCTTTGAGGATTCACAGCATTGAGAAACCTTTGCAGCATTTGCGCCGGGCAGGGAGCTTGTGAATGCTACACCTGCAGCCACAGCGGCGGCACCAACTGGGGTCCTCAATCCCTTAGGCTTAGGCCCTTTGTACAGGTTATTCTTGTCATGCAAGTAGTCACACTTGTCTTTCGTGCAGCTATCAAAGGCGAAGTACACGCAAGGCATCTTCGCTTTCTCATCCTTCGTCCTCAGGGTCTCAGGGGTCCCCTTTCCGGATCCTTTCTGCTGATTCTCCTTCGGAGTTGTGCCCCATGCAGAGGCGTCCCCCCTTGTCCTGCTTGTTTGAATCCTTCTTGGATTCACCCCCCCTTCTTGGGGTTGTCATCCTTCTTGGGGCTTTCCTTAGATCCTTTTGGCTTTTGCTTCTTTTCCTCTTTGGTTTTAACAACTTTCGCATGAACCTTTTGATTTTGACCACCGCCTAACGACTTGTCAACACAAGACTCCCATTTTGTCACACAACCATCTGGAAGTCCTCTTGTGAGATCCGGATCTGGCACATCTGAACTTGTCGATCTGCAGCAACATCAGAGGATGCTCTTTGAGCTCTTCGAACAAGTGTCCTAAGCAAGCCTTCGCTCGGACGTTCGTCCTTTTCGAGCGAATCCTAGCCTCTTTTCCTTGCGGTAAAGATCATCACTTTGAGAAGAACCACTTTCGGACTTACTGGACGAATCTTTGCTACTCCCTCCATCCCCCCCCACCTGAGCTCTTCGAACTTGATGAACTGGAAGAAGATCCTGAGGATAGATTTGCTTTGGACGTGCTATCACGGTTAGGCCGTGCTTCCTGGCTACCGGCGCGATCACGCGATCTGGATTTCGCTGAAAGACTGTGCATGAACGCTACGGGCCTTCTGTTGCTTCAACTCATTCATTTCCCCAATCAGTCTTTCGACCTTCGCGATTAGGAAACTGAGGGCTGCCTCAACGCCTTGGCTTGACGCCTGTGGCATTTGATCACCTCCCCCAAGCCCCGATGATCCATCAGAACTTCCCTTTATTTTCTCGGTGGAGCTTTTGCGCTTCTCACCGTCACGCTTGTGGTCTGATTTTGACTTGTCACCCTTAGTACCGGCCTTTGTGGGTTCCTGCACACGTGAACTTGGGTCCGTGCCATGATGGATGGTTTGCTGGGGAGCACCATACTGAAGACCCGTTTGCATGTTGAACCATGGCCTCCTGTTCCTTGATTCTTGACACTAGCACATGCACTTGTTGCTGCATGTGCTCAAACTGGGAGTTTGCCACAATCAACATCCCATCTTTTTCCAGGATTTGGGTATGTGCCTGCTGCACGGTACCTCGGACTTCAGTCCACACCTGATCCCTAATATAGTATGTCTTTGTGAGCGCTATCCGCGGCAGTTTGGGCTTGATGGTAGATTTCGGTGGCTTGAGCCCTCACACGATCTACTTCATTACAAGATAGGTGCAAATTTCTTGGCTCCATTGATGGATCAATGCTAGATGATGTCATTGGAATGGGAATTGGTTCTGCCAGGGAGGTGTGCTGCTGGGCAACTACCCCTACAACAGGTTGATGCCTTCGAACAGGGGTTTCATCAGGATCCTATCAATGTCCGAACGCGAGCTACTACGTGCTTCCTAATCCGCCACTGCTCCTTGTCACTCTCTGTGTGAACTCAATGTTTGTTCAGCTTTCGTGCCCAACGACCAACAATGGGCAGGGCGTCAGCGAACCAACCGAAAAATCTGATGCTTGTCGCCCCCTAGTGATGGCTTGCGCTGCAACTTCACGCGCGCACAAGTGATTCCGGCTGCAATTGCCTCTTCAATGACTTCACGACTGTCGTCAATGATAAAGCACTCGTGCAAAGGAATCTTCAGGCTTTTGATGGTCGCTATCTTTCCAACTCTGCCAGCAGAACGCTCAGTTGTAAAGATTGGCGAAAACGCGCAGCAGGTCTGATGATTCGCAGTGAAGTCGTCGACCAGATTCCTGCATCTGGGCGTTGGTTCTGGGTGCAGGTATGAAATACAGACGCCTGTCAAGTCAGGGCAACGATGCTTCAAATCAGGCAGCGCGGCTGTATTCAATGGCAATCCTTGTTGAACGTCTGCGTCCCGGTTGCGTATTCAAGCATAGTTGCAGAACAAGATAGGTCAATCCAGGTTGTACCAGCCTCCCTGCACGTAATACCTGACCTGGTCCGGCAGCTCCGCCCTTTTTGTCTTGAGCTGCAATTGTTGGCGTTCTTGAATTGCCAGATCCAATGCTGCTCGGAAAAAGACGTTCAGATCGTCCTCGACCTTCAGGAATCGATACTTCGCAGGGTCTTGCACGCGAAGAGTTCTATCGATATATTCCTGCCTTGCTTCCTCAGTCGGCTGTGTGGCCACGAATTGAGCAGTCTTATTAATAAGACCCGCCCACCCCTTCGATGGCTATTGCACAGCAGTTGCAGGCGCTGGTTCCAGCAATCTGAACGATCGCACTTCAAAAGTGTTCCCTGGAGCGGCGGCCCCGGCTGTCGAAGAAGATGCAGCTGCGGATTGCGACTCTTCAGTGACAATTGTTACTGAGTAATACAACTCCACCAGCAAGTTCAAGTGCTTAACTCGATCAAGTAAAATTCTTTGCGATACGAGTCCCACCCGTGTGTTGCCAAAACTTGTCTCAGTATGCTCGCCTTCTGGCTTGCGCCCCTTTTACCAGACCTTTGCCACTTAAACAGCTCCCACAAACGTCCGGAACGGGGAGGTTCGCCTGCTCGGCTGTGGCTAGACAAGCCAGTACCAGCTAAGAGCCGCTTACGGCTGATAACCAGTTGAATCAAGATAAGAACAGCTCGCTGGGCTTGAATTCAAGCAATCCAAATCCTGATCCAAGTAATGTCACCACCAAAAGGTAAAGAATACCACGTCGTCAAGTAAATGGCGGACGCACTCCTTTTAACCCTCGGGCAGCTTGAGCCAAAAGCGGATGCGTTTGGTGCCTTTGGAAAACTGCAGCACATGACAACTGCAAAATGTCATAGTTGCAAAAGGAATGAACCTCATGAATGGAAGTTTTGCTTAACCATGGGTTCCTGAATATGTGAAACGGTGGACAGACAACGTCTACCCTACACATGACGATTCCTCCTAGCAAGCTACACTCAAGGAGTCCCTTCTCAGCTAAGCATGCCACATGAAGGTTACTGACCAAACATGTCCTGGAAGTGGTGGTGCATCATTGGCATCTCACCCTGTCAAACATGGCCACAGTTGCACGGCAACAGCCATAGCTCAAAAACGAGTTCAGTCTGCTTTGTTGAGGGCCAGAATGGCCAAGTGGTGTCGCCCCGCGACACAAACATCCCGTGGAATGCGCGTTGCTCGTGGGACTTGTTCGTGCAAGCGACAACGGGGATGGCCTATCCCTCCGTCAATGAGGTTGGTTGAATTTCGTTGAACGACCACCTTCCTCTAAAATGGCCTTAACAGCTTAACCCCTCTCCCAACCAAGTTCAACTACTCCCATGCTCCCTGAAAACATGCGAATCCATTTCCTTCTGAACTTACGAGGTTTGTTTGGTCATGCTGCCCAAAATTTCAAAATTCGGACCCGCCCTCCATCGAATCTCCCGCCAATCAACCTCTTACTACGAGGGTCTAAGTCCAAGTGATTGGAACGGGGTTGTGAGGCATGATTTCTTCATCATCGGAGAATAATGTTTGTCATAATATTTTGGCATGCCTCCAAAAAATAGGGCCTTTCCCTTGCGTCCCAGACGTCCATTGAAAGTGACCGAGAGGCCACCAGCGTTGCCAGGCAATGTGCGCCGCCGCACACTTCTGGCTCCAGATCTGAGCCTCTTCTTGTGCGCCCACCACCCCCAACACGCTGCTCATGTCCTGGCAGGGATCGAAGCCACTGGACCAAGCACCACCAGCAACCAACAAAGCACACCAAACACACAGACCAGCACCCACAAAATCACTAACGCCAGCACCTGACTGCATCCCACCGGCAACTGCCACTGCACCTTGACCACGCCAAAGGCACCGTGACCAGCACCCACAACAACACCTGCCTGCATCGCCACCACCAGCAGCTCACCGCACATTAAAACTGTTTGCAACGCCAAACAAGCGCTGCCAGCAACCACCACCACCTTGAACACGCCAAACAATGTCACATGACTAATCAATTAGCTAGACCTCAGCCTGGTTGTTCGAGTGAGCCTCCGAAGACCAAGCTTAACAACATCAGCCCAAAAGTCGTTGGCAATTAACTGATTGATAGCTTTTGGCTTTGGCCCTCTCTACAACTCAGCTCTACACTTTCCCCGCCTCATGTCAAAACTCGTTTCCAGCCCACAACTGGTCCTCGTCGCGGGCTGCGAAAGTCACAGTCGACGAAGGAGAGTCCCCGAACCGGGGAGGGCCGCGCTGGCCGCGCGGCGGGCTGTGCTTGCCGTGCGGCGGGGCGTGTGGTGGGCGTAGCTCGCCCTTGAGCATCTGGATGGCGCCGTCCAGCTCATTGATGCGCAGCCTGCCTCCAGGAACAGGCCAGCTGTTCCATAGCTGTTCACGCACTTCCTCCACCGCAACGCCATCCAACATGTACCTCTGACTCAGGGTCGCATAGTGCTTGGGCCCTCCCAAATGCTCCTCATAGCCCCGGCAGCCATCGCAAATCCGGCACTCCAAGCTCGGTGCGATCCACCCCATTCGCGCCCAGCTGGACATGGCATTCACAACCATCTCTGCACGGGGTCGCATTCCCTCCCGGAAAGCGCGCTGCGAGCCCAGGTGCGCGTACAGACGCCAGTCTGCTTTGGGCCGCGCTGACCAACTGAGAGGCTCGCAGATTTCCACCCAGCTGCCCTCTTGCGCCAGGCTTGCACAGCTGGGCAGCTCCGCCCCTCGCGTCGGTGCATCTGGCGGGGGTGCAACGCCGGCTGGCAACTGGCCGCAAGGCGGCTTCAAGCCGGCTGCTGCCTGGGCACAAGGCTCATGACCGCAGGAGCTACAACAGCTTTTTCATCTAACATTGTTGACTTCAAAGTGGAGATACATTTGCTCATGCGTCATGTCTGCATTCCCTTGGCAAGAGCTACCTAGTTTCGCATGCATAAGCATTTGCTCATCTATCCGTTGATTCGTGAGTTTAGCTGTGTGTGTCCTTGTCGTTGTTGCTTCTGTGTGCGCAAACTTAGTATCAAACTGGCCCTCAGAACCTAGAAAAACCACGGTCAAGTTTTCGGAGCGCCAGACAGCTAAACAAAAAGCCCCTGTGCTTCCATGCCTCAAATCGATGGACATCAAGGGCTCACAAAGCAAACCTCCACTAAAGCGCATCCTGAAAACTACCCTCTAATCTATATGGTCCTTCAAAGGCACCTCCTCAAAGTATCTGAAAAGCGTTCACTTCTGTCTTTAAGAAAATAAACCCGGCTGACTTTGATAACCCCCAGAAGTCGAAAATTGTGAACCTGGGACTGACAAGCCCGTTTGCAAATAGGGGGGCGTTCTCCTCCACAAGCGCTGCCCCACTAAAAAGGTTGACGGGTTCCAAGGCACCCATTTCCCCGGCTCCCACTTGGGGCTCCGCCGGAAAGTCCGCGCCCTTGCAGATCTGCAGCCGCCCGTCCAGCTCGTTCAAACGCAGCCACCCGCCCCTGCAAAGGCTGCGACTTTGGCAAAGGGGAGAGGTCCATTTTGTTCTCCCCATGTTGTTCTCCGAGTTGGCGCCCTTTGTTCGGGCTTCCGTTGCGGGGAGTGTGTTCAAGCTGTCCGCTCAACGTCTACTCAACCGGACACTCTTGTTTGCGGGTGTCACCTGACAAAGCATGCTTTTACCTCCTGAAATGATCCTAAGAAAGCTGCCGGGTATCCGGAGCAACGGGAAGCCAACTCATTTCTTGGCTAATGCGAGGGCACCAAGCACAAAGAAATACAACGGTAGCAACTAGAAATAATGACCCGGGAAAGGGGCAGAAAAGGAACCAGCCATCCCATCTGAGAAACTTTTTGAAAGAGGCTCAGCCCAAGTCCCGTTCGACTTCGTGGCCTATTGGAAAGACGAGAGTCAACAAAGGAGAGCCCTAACGAAAATGCTTTCCACCTGCAAAGGCGCCCATCTCGGCTCACCTCCAAGCACAGCACCCAGCGGAACTCCAAACTCCTTTGACCTCGACTTCGACTGTTAGACCAATCTGCCAGTCCGACCGCATGAGCTCAGTGTGTGAGCCGCGCGAGCCGCGCCTGAGCCGCTGCATGTTCCAGAAGCCCTCGAGGTGTGACTCTACCGGACCCTCGCCCAAGAAATCGCAGAGCCGCGACCAATGTCGCCTGCCGAATCGGGACGCGCGCACGCGAGCGAAAACGGGAAATCCACGCAAGGCAAACAGGGCTCAACTGGCGACGGGGTGCGAGGCGGCTTTGAGGCATGCCTTTTGTCTTCCTCTTGCTGGGTCTCGGGAGAAACCTGGGGATTCCCACAACGAAAATGAAAGGAGTGGTTCAGTTCGCCTTCATTCCCTCATTAGCTGCTGAGAACAAACAAGTTTCGCAAAGCCTTCCGGTATCAGCGAGTGGGACCTTTCAAAGGTCAAACAAGGCCGCGCTTGAGTAGAGAACGCGCCAGGGCAGAACTGTGTGTCGAGCCTCAATTTTATTGGCATTTATGATCATTTATGGGCTGATGCGGGACACCGAGTGGGAACGAGACCAAGGATTTGTTCCCCAGGAAGCCGGAGCCCAAGCATCCGTCTCTATCCGAGCGGCGGTCCCCCGAGGTGTTCTGCATACCCACCTGAGCGCTTCCGTTGAAAGGGCTTTTTGATTTTTTTGTTTAAGAGAATACCCTGCATACCTTCCTGCGGCCATCAGGAGTGCTTTGCAGGCTTTGCGAACTCGAAGTCAAGCCTTTTGTGGGGTCCTTGCGTTCGGCGAAACACGTTTTAAAGGCATCCACGTTCTTAAGGGAATATCCTTTTCAATGCTTTAATGAGGCCCTTTGCTGCTACCCTTGCTCGAGTCCTTTTCAGGGGAACACCTTTTCTGCTGTTTCCCTTTACTCTATGTCTGGTCAAGATGTCCTTTGAAGGAATATCTATCGTTGAACTCCTTAGAAAAACTCCCAAGCGAAACAAACGGGTGTCTGTTCTTGAGGGTACCCTTTCACCTCGGCTTAAAGGGAAACCCAAATTAAAACCGCAATTTCCCCTGCTTCAACACATACCCAAATCCTATTTCAGGTTCCCATTTCGAGCAACCCCCCACCTCCGATCTGGCAGAGCTGGCAGTCTGGCTCCAGGCCGTCGCCGAATAGCCGCACCACTTGGAGCACCAGATTCGCGCGCTCCCGGATCCGCTCGCCTCGGCTTCAGGCGCCGGAGCTTGAGACATCCGCGTTTTCTGCGGATGGTTTCGGCCCGCGCCTCAAAAAGCGGTTGGGCTTCCCTTTCCAAACTCGCAAAAGGATGCCAACTCCGGAAAACCTCCCTTTTGCGGGCTTCCAAATGCGCGGTATTCCTTCAGTTTCCCTGCAAACCAACTCCAAAAAGGGCACCTGCAATCTCCATGACCGCCCTTTGAGCGTCCTTTAAAACCACCGAGTACCCTCAAAAAACACACATACCCACCCAAAGCCTGGTCGTTGAGGGGCTTAGCATGCTTCATGCTAACGTAACAAGCAGGACGCGGAAGCAACTTGTGACGTCTGCAATGAAACCCCAAGCCCGAAACTCCCCTTGGCCCAAAATCAAACGCGAGCCACACCTGAGGACCCACTTTGGCAGGCGAGGGGCTGAAGACGCGTCGGGAAGAGAGATGGGGAAAGGCCCGCCAACTGCCGCCAGGCGCCGCAGGGATCGACAGCGCACTCAAGGCCTGCAAATGTTTTCCAGATGCGTTTGCGGATGCCTTCGAACTGCTCGAACAGGTGGGTGAAGGACGCGACAAAAAGCCCCCCCTCCCAAAAAGGAGAGGAAAGAAAAGTCTCAGCTGGTTTCAACGGGGATAGATCAGCCCTGCCTCGTTCCAGCCTTCCCTGTCCAGGCAGCACGGGTCCAGGCAGCTCGGGTCCATCGCCCAAGCGCGGCCGTGTGGTTTTGGTGTGGCCCCTTTCCGTGGTGGCTAACCTTTGAACCTGTTCCGGTAGATTCCTTGACACTGTTCGCGTGAGAAGGGCTCTTATGAACATATGAAGGAATCATCTGGGGTCAATTAGAGCACTGGTCGGCCGGACTTCCCATGTTGCCATCTGCAAGTACCCTATGAATGGGGACCAAAGTTTTGGCTCACCTTTGAAAAACGTAGATCGGGAAACCAGTACTGGGGCCTCCCCGTATATGTTGTGTAGACTCACACACTCATAGACTCATGTTAAGCCTGGCATTTGAGCCCCAGCCCCTGCACGGCGATGGAGTTCACAGTAAAAAGGAGCCGGCCCCGCGTCACGTGACGCGGAAGCGCCTACCAAGCCACACATTTCGGGGCGTGTCCAAAACTGGGGGGACACCTGAAGTCGGTTTTCTCTTGGTTTGGCCCCACCTAAACATCAAAAAAAGGTTCCCCGACCCCCAGGCTAGGACGATCCAATATGAAGCAGGGCTCCGATTCTGTGGCAGGACAAGGCCAAGTATCATAAGAAGCCAGCCAAGCACAGGCCGACGTTTGCTCGATCCTCCTTGCTCCCAGGTGAGACACAATCAAAACCTGGCAATAATTTGGCCTACTCATTTCCGTGTAAGGACGCCCATTTAGGTTTCGATTGGGTCTCAGCTGACGTTGAAGGGCTGCGACCTTCTGGGGGAAGTAACCATGCCCTGGGAAACCTCCGAATATCCCTGAAATGCGGTCAAAATGAACCCATGTTATTGGTTTTTGTGTTGGTTGTTTGGAGATTCCTGTGCAATAAATTCTGCATTCCCCCTGCCACGTAGTGTCCAAAAGCCAAAAAAAGCCCTACCCTCAAAGGTGGTTTCAAGACAAAAGGATGTGGTTGCAACATCGACCCAGCCTGTCCATCAAGACCTCCCCCCACCCCACCCCTCCCCGGACTTGCATGGGCCAACCGTTTCACGCTACGGCCAGCTTGGAGGTCGGCGGGTCACTGCTTTGCTCATGGCTCAGATGGCCCTTTCGCCAGATCAAATTTTCCATCAGAGTCCCGATCCGGGTTCGGGTCCACGGTTTCTTTTTGGCAAGCCTCACCGGACAACACTGCCAAGTCTGCTTTTGCGGTACCGAGAAGAAACACGGACCCCAAAGCCCAAAGCAAGGTACTACCTGCCACACTTTGGAACCCGAAGTCCCAAAAAGTTGATTGACCTCTGAACAAGCTGTGGCTAACGGGGGTCAAGGCGAGTCACATTGTCCACGCCAATGCCGGTCAGTAAGGTGTTCTGAGACTTCCAGCCGAGCAAAGAGGATACCTTTTTTGTTGGTACTCGCTGCTGCAGAAAACAGCCTCCAAGAAGTGGAAGCAACTGACTGGAGGTCTGGGTGATTTTGTCTCAGGCCTCTAAGGGTTCAGGGTATTCAGGGTAGTTGCAAAGCACGTCTGCCTTGAGAAGGCCTAAATACTCGGAGTTTAGAAGCAAATTCAGTCACGATGTCTACGAGTGATCACTGTGTTAGCAAGCTTCGATGGGGAATAGGCTTGCTCTGAAGAACCCAATCGACACCCGCAATAAGAGGGAAACCAAGTGAGTCGTTCATCAAATCTCTTATGAGGGAGCAACCCTGGGGAAGTTGCGTTTGTGATCTAAATCATCCCCCACTCCCCCTCAAGTAAACTTGTCAGAGGAGAAGGCACAAATTCCGAAACGACTCCGACGATGAACCTCTGCATCACAACAAGCATTGCCTGTCTGTGGGAAACCGAAACCGCTCCAACATACAATCTTCGGGTGGCTGGTGCCAAGAAGCCCATGGCCCCGATCGAATCCATCCGCCCGAATTTCCAAGATGGAGGTGGGTTGGGTTGGAGCCTCCAGGTGGAACATAATCAGTCTCAACGTGTCCTGCGGGAATGTCCCCATCCAGACTGTCGCACTGAATCCTGCGCAGCTAAAGCAGAAAAACCAGAGGACCTGTCCAATGACGGACGGCAGGCAAATGCCGTCACAAACTGGCAAGGATATTCTACACGAGCCACAGTTGACATTAGTCATGGTGGTATCCAGCATAGAAATCTCCATGACTCTGACAGCTCCAGCAAAAATGAGGCCTTCAAGCAATAGGATCATGTATCTGTCAGTAGCTCGCATGCAAGCTCGCTCATGCCACCCTGCATGAGCGGGCCGAAAGCTGAAAGCCCCGAATTCATACGGATGCATGCTGTTGAAGCGCCAGCATTGCAGAGGAGCGATTCGCGTCTCTCAGCTGTTGCTCGAAGAGACAACTTGTCTTGACCCCTCCCTTGACCCGTCCCGGTGCATGACCTCTTTGGAATGGCTGGAACCAAAACTGTCTTCAAAAAAGACGGCAACAACCAGCACTTGAAAGTCAGCAAGTAGCATCGTCACCAGCGGCCAGAATGAAACTAGACCTTCCGGCATCTGAAAGTGGGAAATGAACTGGCAGTGTCCCAAACTCTGCGCCCTTTTTGGGGATGGGGCTTGGGCAGCGAAAAGAAGTCTTTTTGGGGATGATCACTCGTAGTTTGCTTTGCCTCCGGACAACCCTAACTCCCAAGCCCCTCCCAAAACCCATCCAACTTCATACTGGACAACCGACATGGTGGATAGTAGTGGCACCTAAGGGTCGCCTCGCACCGGGAAGCTCGAATAGAGCTGACAAGATCAGGGAAGCCATGGGAAGGGCCCGAGCCGTCGTCTTTGCCTTTGCCGCCAAATTTTGCCTTGTCAACCTTTTCTTGTCTCTGGTCACAATTCAGCGCCTGGGTTACGGTTTGTCACTAGTTGGGAGTGTGTCAGTGTCTCTAGGGTGGTTTCTTGGTGTCCCTTCACCACAAAGAGTACCCAGCCTCGAGAACAGACGCCGATTCGGCAGCTCCAGCCTTGACATGTGCGGCTCATGCGGCCTTGGCCTCCGCCAGGGCCCGCGCGAAGCGGCGCTTCCAGCGGTCCGACACCGCGGAGGCGTCTTTGGCCGTCCAGGGTTCCAGCTGGGCCTGGCAAAGGGAAAACGGTCGCTTGGTAGGAGAGGGGGAAATATCGAGCACCGATCAAGGGAGCCGTCATCATGCGGTTTGATCTCCAAGCTGGGCAGGCACTTACTCTGTTGCAGCATTTGAAACTCCCGGAGCCACAGTAAATGTTTTGCTGTCTGGTGAGCAACCTCAACTCCCTAATGTAAATTCAATGAGCCATTCTCTTCATGCCAAAAGATGATCGTGAACCCTGTCCAGGCCCTTCGTTTCCCGAGAAAAAAGAAGGGGGGTGAACAGGTCAGAAGTTGGGTAAGTACCACAAAAAGGAATGTGCGACCAACAGGACGCCTACCATTTGGAAGTCCATGTCTTGGACAACTTTTTGTGGCCCCCCTTTTCTGAAACCTGATAGAAGCCACGAACCCGAATGCAAAAGATGGCCTTGGGAATGTGAATTTCGTCAACTCGAGCAACGCTGTCCAGCTGGAGCCATATTTTGAGCGACGCTTTTGAGCTTCTGGCCGACCGCTCAACCGACACCTCTAAAAAGTTATTCAACGCAACACTCGTAAGCGACTTTGTCACTGACACTTTTGAGAGGCGCTTCTGAGCAAGAGCTTGAGCAAGGGCAACACTTCTGAACATACTTACAAGCGATATTCGAATTACGCTCCAAAGCGACACCTCTGATTGACACATCTAAGCCTGAGCGATACTTCTACACACACATCAGCAACACTCAACGGTTCTGGGCGACACTCCGAAGCTACAATTCGAGCGACACTTCTACACACAAATATACGCCTCTGAGCGACACTTCTGAATAACGCTGCTGAGCGACACTGCCGAGCAACACCTCTGACCGACACTGAAAATCTAACCGACACTTCTCAACACTCCTGATCGACACTGCTGATCGACACTGTGAGCGACACTTCTCAGCAACACTCACTGCTGACCGACTCTTACGCACAACACGTCTGAGCAACGCCTCTGATCGACACTTCTGCGCGACAACTCTGAGCAACACCTCTGATCGACACTTCTGTGCGTTCTGAGCAACACTTCTGAGCGACGCAGCTGAGCCACACTTCTGATTGACACTTCTGATCGACATTTCTGAGCAACACTTCTGATCGACACTCCTGAGCGACACTTCTGATTGACACTTCTGATCGACATTTCTGAGCAACACATCTGATCGACACTTTTGAACGACACTTCTGAGCAACACTTCAATCCGAGCAACGCTTCTGATCGACACTTCTGAGCAACACTTCTCATCGACACTTGAGCAACACTTCTGATCGACGCTTCTGAGCAACACCTCTGAGTGACACTTCTGAGCGACACTTCTGAGCGACACTTCTGAGCGACACTTCATGAGCGACACTTCTGAGCGACCACACTTCTGATGAAACCTTCTGATCGACGCTTGACATCTGAGCAACGCTTGTATTTGACATTTCTGAGATGGACACTGCTGATCGACACTCTGAGCAACACCTCTGAGCAACACATTCTGAGCCACGTGACACTTCTGACCAACGCTTCTGATCGGCACTGCTGATCAAAGCTTCTGACCTATCAACACTTCTGATCGAAACCTCTGAGCGATGCGACACTTCTGAGCGAAAAAACACCATGCTTCTACACACATAAGCGACACTCTGAGCGACACTTCTGAGCAACACTTCCCAGCGCCGCGACACTTCTGAGCAAAACTTCTGCGCAACACTTCTGAGCAACACTCCTGATCGACACTGCTGATTGACACTCTGAGCGACACTTCTGAGCAACACCCACTGCTGACCGACACTTGTGAGCAACACTTCTGAGCAACACTTCCGATCGGCACTGCTGATCGACGCTTCTGATTGACACTTCTTTTCGCTTCTGAGCGACACTTCTGACAACACCTCTGAGCGACACTTCTGAGCCACACGTCTACACACACACATAAGCGACACTTCTGAGCAGCACTTCTCATCAGCGACGCGACACTTCTGAGCAAACTTCTGAGCAACACTTCTGAGCAACACTCCTGATCGACACTGCTGATCGACACTGCTGATCGACACTCTGAGCGACACTTCTCAGCAACACTCACTGCTGACCGACTCTTACGCACAACACGTCTGAGCAACGCCTCTGATCGACACTTCTGCGCGACAACTCTGAGCAACACCTCTGATCGACACTTCTGTGCGTTCTGAGCAACACTTCTGAGCGACGCTGCTGAGCCACACTTCTGATTGACACTTCTGATCGACATTTCTGAGCAACACTTCTGATCGACACTCCTGAGCGACACTTCTGATCGACACTTCTGAGCGACACTGCTGGTCGACACTTCTGATCGACACATGTGCTCGACACATCTGATGGACTCTTCTGAGCAGCACTTCCGGGCGACGCGGCGCTGCTTAGCAACATTTCCGATCGACACGTCTGCTCGGCACTTCTGACCGATGAGAAACACTGCTGATCGACATTTCTGAGCGACACTTCTGAGCAAAACTTCTGATCGACACTTCTGAACGACACTTCTCCCCGACACTTCTGAACGACACTTCTAATCGACACTTCTGAACGACACTTCTGATCGACACCTCTGAACGACACTTCTAATCGACACTTCTGCGCCACTCTTCTAATGGACACCCCTGATCTAACAGCACTTCTGTCTCTACATGCGCACCGCGCCACAGCGAGAGCGATTTGACCCGCCCAATGCGCAGAGGGTTCACTTTGCGCGCTCAGAATGCGCACCGCACCACAGCGAGAGCGATTCGACCCACTCGCTTCGCATGCTCAAAATGTGCACCGCGCCACAGCGAGAGTCAAAGTGACGCGCCTGCCACGCAATCTACACCCAGGCACCAAAGAATTGTGCCTGCCACGAAATTTGCACGAAAAGCTCCAAAGTGCTGTGCCTGCCACGAAATTCAACAAAACACTCGAAAGTCTGTCACGCAAAGTAAGCTTTCCACGAACTCAAAATCAACCAAACTGCTGCACCTGCCACGAAATCCAACTTTGACACGTTTGCGACACGCATCCAAAACTAGCGCGGGACTGCGGCGCCAGAATGATTTCGACCAGTTTTGACATGTTTCAAGCTCGCCAAAAATGAGCCGATTGTACGACAGGGCCAACAAAAACGACGCCGGCGCAAACACCATCACGCGCCTGCCAAGCAGGACACCTCAAAACGACCACCCCTGGAACGCAAATCCCAATGGCGCGGCAGCGAGAACGCGCGGCCTGCGCAGCGAAACGCAACGCTGCAAAAGACACGATTCACGCACGGGCGCAACGAATTCAGCACTTCAAGACTCATCGAAAAGTCACTTTTTGCGACAATCCCAATGGCACGGCAACTTTTTCCACATGCGGACGCTCGCGGACGCTTCATTTGGGAACATTAGAAGGGGGTCGAACAATGTTTGGAGACCCTTGGTTTCCGCCAGCTCAAAATTTGCACCAACCACCCTCACATCCCAGTTGGCGCGCCCGTGTGCCGCAGTTCACCGCATTCACGAATTCACCAAGCTGCTGTGCCCAACAAAGCCAAAACCACGGATTGCAACTCGCGTAGTCTGACCCATCTGCTTTGAAGCCCAGCGATTTTTGTCGCTCTCTCTCTTTCTCTCTCTCTCTCTCTCTCTCTCTCTCTCTACATGACCACAGTTCCCAACTGCGGCATTCAGAGCTCTGATGCGTTTGGGCTATGAACAACTGAAGCTGAGTCCAGAGCCATCAATCATCTTTGCAGATCCCTTGCTCCAACTGCTTCGATAAAATAACTGGCCAAAGAGAGTCTTTTAAAAAGTAAGGCAACCTGGTTTGTCTTTTCGCACGCGGATGTTCCAAAGCAGCCACTTCTTCTGGGCAACTTGTAATAATCCACCAACCGAAAACAAACCATGGACCCCCAAGAAAGGACCCGACGTCGCAGACCGCAAGGCATCGCTTTAGTTGGACTTCTTGCACGACTCCCTGGGACCCGTACCTGGGACCCGGCTGCGCCTCGCTCACCCAGGCGCTGCTGGCCTCCCCGAAGAAGTTCACACCGTAGGGCTCCTGGTCCTCGCCAGAAACGCCAAGGCCCCTTTTTTTATTGGGGGGGGGGGTGAGGCAGGTGGACGGGATTTTCGCTCACTTGGAGTTGATGGTTGCAACAAACAGAAACATGCCCCCGCAACTTGGTGCCAACCAGGCTTTGATTTGATGGTTTTGTAGTTGAAAACTGTGGCCTTACCTAGGTATTGTGTTTTTAGAGGGTTGGAGTCGACAAGCCAACTCCAAGTGTCCAAGAGTCCAAGTGTCCATGATGTTGTGACTGGACTCCATCCAAAATAGGTAACCCCTTTTTCGACAATTTCGGCTTTGGCCCACTCTCCCCGACATTCAACAAAGTGAACGACTGGATGTAAAACAAAGCTTCTTTGGGGCAAGCTGAAAACTTCGACCTCCTCCACCCCCCCCCACCAAAAAAGGCATGGTAGTTTTCCTTTGTTCTCCCGTCGCCCAACACCAAAAAAACAATGTCCCAATTAGGTCGCCATCCAAAAAAGTGCCCCCAAACAACAAGCCTGAAAGTGAGCCCCAAGACCATCTTCGTGTGTCTTCAGGAGGATACAAGGGCCTGGATACCGGAATTGGAATGATCGGAAAGCACCAACTCCAAAAAGTGCGTTGTTAAAATCCCCAAACCCCCCCCCCCCCCCCCCAAAACCCCCCACCCCCCCACCCCCACCCCCTCCCTCCCCAGCCCCGCGGCCTCTGGGCCGTCGAAGCCCACCGCCGCCACCCGGGCCGGCCACTTGGGCCCGAAGCCCCGGCACCAGACCAACTCCCCGCAGCCGAAGCGGAGCCTGCGCCTAGCGACAGACGAGCGATCGAGCGATCGAGCGATCGAGCGATCGAGCGATCGAGCGATCGAGCGATCGAGCGATCGAGCGATCGAGCGATCGAGCGATCGAGCGATCGAGCGATCGAGCGGCGGCGCGGCAAGCCCAAAACGGAAAATTAATCAATTGTGAAAAGTCCTGTTTTAAGATTTGGGATGAGTGTCTTTTGTTTGTATTTTTTTCAGGGCGTCTCGTTTTTGGACTGGTTGAAAAGGAAGCCAGAGGGGCATCATCCATTTTTCGGGGGCTAATACAATGCCAGAGGAGCCAGTGGGAGGATGGTTGGGTCCAACTTAAGGTGGAAAACGTGAGGAAACCAGGAGAGTTTCCCAAAATGACGTAACCGCCCTTGGATAAGAATGGGGCGGGGGATGATAAAACAAAATCAAGGCATGCTCACAACAAGATAATACTTGGCTAATTCTATAGCCCCTTATGTTGCCATGAATTCATCAGGGTTGATTTGAGGGTTTCGGGGATCCATTTTGGGCGGCTTGAGGAGATTGCTTCCTGGCAGGGTTGGGCAATGGTGTACCTCTTTAAAGAGAAACCAAAAGGAGTTTGTTTGAGCAGTTGTGGTGTGGGGATAGTATCAGCATGGTACTGTATTTCCTCAACTGCTCTTATCAGACCCAGAAAGAGGAAAACAGCTGATGTTCAGGCTCCGTCTGTTTCCAGCTGCAACAAGGCTGAAAGTGTTTCCTGAAGCCGGTTGGTGCGTAAGAGGCGCACAGCGCGATGGAGATTGGTCCTTGAAACCGAATCAGCAATTGCTGCAACTGCAACAAGAACCGACAGAGGAAACTCGCATCAAGATGCGCTGCCCGAGGTACAGTAGATTCTGCATCTGTTACAACATACTATAGTTGTTTATTTTTTACAAACAGGAAATCAGCAAAAAGAAGAAAATGTAAGTAAGCAACCATCCTTTTGGTTCAACTTGTTTACCACCAGGAAAGCTCAGTTGTACAAACCCTTGGTCTACCAAAACAGCAGGGTCTAAAATGGCTTCCACGACTTCCAACAGGGAAAACGTAGTATGTGTACACCCTTTATAAAGTGGCAATATAGTGGCTGTAGAAGTCGTAATCCGGCCCTATGAACTTAGTTCAAAGGTTCGGGTGCTTAAACCGGAGTTTTGCTGTTGGGGCCCTACAAGACTAGCAAAAAAAGAAGCATGACCAGTTGTCTCTAAAAAAAGTGGGCCAGGGTGTAGACGAACAAGGTATTCGAAATCGCAGTGTCGTCCGGTTTCAGGCCTCTTGGATAGGTCAGCGGTGCATGTGTCGCATGACCTGGGGCTCGGTCGGGGGGCAAACCGCTGGATGCGCACCATGGTCAAAGCTTTGCTAGAAGTATTGGTCTTCAAAGTTCTTTCATTTAAGGGTCGCTGCCCATCCCTAGCAAAATCTACCAATGTTTCCCCACTGGGTGCTGCATGTCTAGCGCTTTGCCAAATGGCCTTCTTTTCAAGGCGATCTTGCTTCTGCCCTGCCAGCTCCGTTCTTCAAGCAGCTAGTTGGGCAAATTAGTTCGATGTTCCCCCATTTGTTTGTCTTCCCTGGCGCTCCATTGCAACTCACCACATCTGCAGCAGTAAGCCAGATCCTAGGAAACAAACACTAAAAGAACCCTGTCTGAGGCTTGCGCATGGGAGCAAAGGGGCTGAAGCCGCCACACACGCTGCACCTGAGCCATCGACCAAACAGATCCCCAGAACCCCCCTTCCCCCTTCGAGGCCGTCAGGTGTGGATAAGCTGGAGGATGTTGCAAGCATCGGCAGAAGAGGCATTGCTAGTCAAGAGAAATGAATGTTTACCGTTTGGGCCATGACTCAACATAGATCAAATTTGAGCGGTTCTTTACATATTGGATCCCCTTTTGGGGGTATTTAACGGGAAACCAAGGGAAACCAACTGTTCCTTTTGGGGCCGCAACCTTGGGCTTCACCTTACCCCGACTCACTCAGAGATTTTCCGCTGATCCCGAGATCTAAGCGATGGGAAACCGAGGTCTAAGGGCCCAACATGTCTATTCTTTGTGATACCAAAGTGGGATTCCCATTCCCATGACTAGTTTCTCACTTTAGAAGGGATTCCTGTTGCATCACGGAAAGTGGCACTGAAGCACAATCTTCCACAACCATGATGTAAAATGGGCTTCGCACTAGCCCCTGACGACTGCAGAGAGTAAAATCTGGCCAAACGCAGGGGTGCCGATAGCGCTCCAAAATGATGGAAACGAGCTTGCTTTGAACTCTCGAAATGCCTGTCGTCCTTCCGGGATCCTTTTCTAGCCATCCTGAAAGAAGACGCTAGCAGCTAGCATTGACACCCTACAACGTTCTGAAACTACATGGCATTAAAGTTCACTTTCTGTGGGTAAGTAAAGCGGATGATTCCTAAGTAGGCCAATGCGATCTTTCACCCAAACAAGAAAAGCCAGCCTCAAACCCAAGCAGAATGCCAACCAAGCATTGGCTACAGCCAAAAACGGAAGCTTGGAGCATATGTGCGCGCTCAAAACTGGGGGGAAGGGGCCTTGGATTGCTTTGCAACCAGTGAAAAACATGTCCCCAATTCTTGGACACTCACAAGCCCTCCTGTGAAGCATGCACAACTTTGCTGGGGATCCGCACACTTCCACCTCAACGGGCCGTGTAGCTTGTGCCATGATCCAGGAACCTGCCTCCAAACCAGAATGCTGGTGTTCAACAGTTTCAAGTTTGCTCGTTGTCAAGTTCTCTGCCTTTCACAGGAGCCTCTAGACACCGAGTCCATGCCAATGCCAACAAACAGATTGCCAACCATGCGACAAATTGAGAAAGTTAGCTTGACACGTCTCAATTCAAAGCACGTGTGCTTTGCTCAGAGACGTGAAAACAAAGCTGCTCTTGTTTGGAGGCAAAAAGCAAAACACTGCTCTGGAAGTTCATCTAATTGAGTGTGCATGTTCCTGGCCAATGGTCTGTGGGTCAAAACACCCAATTGTCGGGGAATCGCCCTAGGGCCACTTCGCAAGTTCTCATGCTTTGCGGGTTTAACGGACGCGTTTGGGAGAGCCCATAGTCCATTGCTCCGCTCCGCCCGGCCTTGTTGCCCTTCCCAGCCTTCCCAGCCAGCGCCTCCAGAGATAAAACTGGCCCAACACATGAACAAACGTCTGACCACTTGTTGCATGGAATATGAGGGAAGCACACACTCTCTCTCTCTCTCGTGAAGGGCCCAAACCTGTCGGGATTGATATACCCCCCAGCCTGAAGTACTGCAGCCGCGGGAAGCTCAAACTATTCCGAAACAAGGTAGCATAGTCCCTTCTTCTGAGTGATGAGTGAAGGGCCTGCAAATGAATTTGCTGACGCTAAACAGACCAAAATCCCAATAAACGGATTTGGATTGGGGTCCGCAGAAAGCAGACGAGGGACTCCCCAAGCAGAAATTTGTCCAGCCCGACGAGCGCCTTCCTCTTCTTGGACAACGGCTCTTCCTGGCGCATCGACTGCTCTCACTCTTGACTCGCCTCTTGAACCGGTACAGGGCTTGACGGCATCTTCAAGCTGTTGGACAAAGGGGCACGGAGCCCATCCCAGGCTGCTCCTGCTTGCGAATGATGAATGCGGAGGTCAGACGGCTTTTTGGATTCTTCGAAAAATCAACTGAGATGAATCTGTTGTATCGTTTCGAACGGACACCCAGATATCGCAACAAAGGCCGACAAAGGCCGACCCACAAAGTGCTGTCCCCTGGCTTGGTTGGCCGACCCCTTGTTTGATCATATTTCAGTCAGGATTGTTTGACCAATGTCTTTTTAGGGTTTCCCTTGAAGGGGGCACGGCTTCGCTGTTTGTATTTGTTGCCCAACCCTGTCCCCATACTGTTCTAGCACAAGTGGTCTCCAACATGTTCTTTTCTCACATCCTGGCAACAACCTGCTGCCCGCCTTAGGCTTCTTGGCCGATTCCGATTTGCCGGACTTTGCCTCGCGGAGAAAACGCGAGAAAGGTGCTTTGTGCCGGCACAGACGAAACTCAGAAACGTCAAGGATTGCCATGGGTTCCTGAACTGCTCTGGTGATGTGAGTCCCAAAAGGGGGACAAACAGTGTCGAAGGCTGCCAGAAATTGCCGGCCGGTGAGTCCTGGGCTCTTTTGGCCCAGTGCCAGCAAGGAATGCGGAACTGTGACCACCACCCAAGTGCCCACGGCACCCCCCCATTCCACCAAGCTGGCTACAAAGCTTTGAAGCGGAGTTGAAGTGTCAAACTCCCATGAAGCCGGGTGGGTATGTGGCAAGCATAGAAGGATAATCATAATAGTGGTGTTCCTTTTGGATTCCCCTTAAACCAACCCAAAAAAAAGGATCAGGATGCCCTCAAAACACAACACAAACCCAGGCATCAGGGGGGGAACCCTCCCGGCTCAAATAGCCCCGGCCCGCGCCTCGGCTCTTCCCTTCGGTTTGGGCGACATCTTGGCCGCCGCCCGCTGGCTCTTCTCAGCCGTCCCCTGACAAAACAGCGGGGCCAATGGCAGGAAAGGCGATGAACTCCCTGATACCATGGTTTGACCTGGTGAAAACACCTCTTTTTGGTTTCCTTGAAAAGGGGAACTTGGTTTCAAGCTTTGCCGCGCAACTGCACCCTGGCTGAAGAAACCAGGGCGCACGAGAAGCAAGGTGCAATGGATTATCATGCACGTCGAACGTGCATTCCTGGCCAGGCCGTTTGCAAGGAATGGAGCTTAACCACGTGGCTGCTTCTCATATCATGGCCCCTAATTGGATATGTGTCAAAACAGAGGAACCCCCCCCCCCCGGGGCCCACAAAACAAAAGCAAAGATGTTGCTTTCGAGGGAATCAAACCAAACAACAACAACAAAAGTACCCTCAAAATAAAAGACACGGGCGCTGCACAGCGCCTTCTTGGGCGCCGGGCCAGGCTTCTCCGGCCCCTGCGTCGGTAGCGCAGGTTTGGAACTCCCCGACAGGCCCTCACTGGAGAAACGTCTGATCCAAGCAGCTCCAGGTGAAGTTTATGCTGGATCCCCTGTTTGGATCCGAAAGCTATCCCGCCCCAGCCAAACCCACGCCGACCCTGTCTGTTCAGCCCGCAACCTGTTTTAGTCCATACACCAAAGCACAAGGGCCTTGGTCCCATCTTCCGGTCGTTTCTTTGGGTCGAACTGGCCTTCTTGGCTGCCTCTTCCTTCATCTTCAGCTTCTGCAAGAGCTTTGCCGCAGCCTCCCGCTGCCTTCCGCTCAAGATCTCCCCGGCCTTGTCCTATTGGAACTGATGCGGTGCGTCCATCAAGCTGGCGGCAAACCCAGATTCCAATTGCAAGCCACGAAAGGCCCTCAAACCAAGGATGCCGACCTTTAGGCATCACATGACGGCTGTTGCTCATGGGCTGCACAAATATGGTCAAGCATGTGAGAAGCAGCTGCACAGAAAAGAGTTCCCGGCCGCTCCTGATTATAACATGATGGAGAGATGTGGATATCCACAAGTGTCACAGGAGGTCATCGCAGCGGCCCAGCCTTCTTTGCTTCCGCGGCTTTGCTTTTGAGCTTCTGCAACAGCTTGGCAGCCGCCCGCCTTTCTCTGCTGGTCAGCTTCTCGACGACTCTCGTCCCCTCAGTGCACGGAAAGCCTATGAAATCGGGGTGTGCTCACAAGGTATGAACAACTCATGTGCACCTGGGCAGAATTCGACGTTCCTCGCACTTCATGGTAAAGTTGCGTGGGCCAGTGGGATTGCCCCCCGCCCTCTACCATAGCTGGCCCAATCCTATCATCGGCAAATACCAGTTGCAGCTTGAAACTGCAGATGCCAGCGGCCATGTACAAAGGACGCAGTGCAGCTGCGCCTTGGTTGCCTCCTTGGATGCTCCTGCCTTCTTCCCTTTGTCTTTCATTGCTGATTCTTCCTTCTTTGCTGGTCCTGCCTTCTTGTCTGCTTCTGACTTCTTCCGTGTATTTGCAGTTTTTGGTGCCTTCTTGGGTGCTGCTTTTGTCTTCTGCGATTCTGCCTTCTTGATCACTCTCTTCCGATTTGACGCCTCCTTGATCTGCTGCGGCTTGCCCGGCTTGCCCGGCTTGCCCGGCTTGCCCGGCTTGCCCGGCTTGCCCGGCTTGCCCGCATTGCCCGCATTGCCCGCATTGCCCGGCTTTTTGCCGTTCACCCCTTCGCCGGCGGCCTGTGCAGGGGGGTTTCATATTTGGGTCGAGGTGTCCAGACAGCCAAACGGTGGCTGTCCTTTTGGTTCCCCTTTGAACTTTAAAGCACCTGAACAAGGAACCCTCCAAAGGCACAAACGCATTTATTCCCCTGCTGAAGGTACTTCAAATTCAGCCCCCTTGCGACCTAGAAACGGTGTTCAGCCCGTTGCCAGTCCTGCCCATTGCTCGCTTCAACGGAATAAACTCGTATCGTGCTCAAAGGACCACGTAGTCCGATCCAACACAAACATAAGCTCGGCCTTCAAAAATAAAGTTAAAGGTGAAACCGTTTTGTCGGTTGACCAGACTAGATATCCGTGACAAATGTGTGGGAAATCGACCTACCCCTAAGAGCTCAGGGTTTATACACCAAACAGCCGTGCCCAAGGAAACTTGGAAATCGAGAAGCACGGTTTTTTGGAGAGAGCCTGACAGAAGAATTGCAACTTCCCTTGGCATACAAACTCTCTTCTTGCGGGTTTCTCTTTTGGATTGCTTTTAAAGGGAGTTCACAGGCAAACCACAACCCGATTCTTGGAGTTCCATATGTGCCGTGATCAAACATGGTTCGCTTACAAACTCGGAACCTCCAGTTTGGTTGTCCAAAACCGAACCTGTCTAGAATACAAACCTGATTAAGAGGTTGATGAACATCCCTGCCGACCCATGGCACACATGGCTGCGGGTCAAAAATAGGATACCCCCAGAAGGGAACCCCGGTAAATGTACACATGGACTATATACAACCTGCGGTCCCCTGGTGATTTAACTTTGACCCACAACCACATGGAGGCCCGAAAATTCGGAATTCCTGGCTACTAGTGAGCCAAGGTCCAAATATGCGATTTCCAAATCAGGACATTTTGGCCAGGCGAGGTATGAGTGTCATTTTCCTGGGTACCAGTTGTGGGCATGAAGAAGGGGCTCCCCAAATTTACAGAGACACATGGGTATGTGTCAAAATAGGGCTTCCTTTTTGGTTTTCCTTTTTCACTTTCCAAAACAGGGTACCCTCGGTACCGAGCCCCAAAAAACCGAGTCACGCCCACTGCGCTTCAGGCGCCTCCGTGGCGCCCGGACTCACAGCCCGCAGGGGCCTGCCGGAAATTCCGATTGGGAAGTGGCATGGCCGTTGCACCCTGGGAAGATGCCCCCTTAGGTCAAGAAAAATGAAAAGAAAACCAACGTGTATCCTCTTTCCAAGAAAGGAAATGGACAGAATGCCTGTTCAAGGCTGTAAAAAAGGGTAAAGGCGGCCCCCTCAAAGCGGAGGTCTACATAGGGAGGCCCCCTTGAAATGGGGGGGGCTCAAGAGGAGGGAAGAAGCAAACCTGAATTGAATCAAGTCCGTCACAAGCTCAACCTTCCTAACGTCCAGGGTTGCATGACTCTCAAATGGCAAGTTCCTTCAGCACGGACCGGATTTTGACTGGAACGTGTTTCTGCTGAAAATCCAACGGGTTGCCAACCCGATTCCTGAATCGTCCATCTGGCTCAGACCACTCATATCATTCACTGACGGAGGCTTATCCTGACATCTGGATGAGGAAGTTGCCCTGCCAAGTCACAACGTCCCCACGCATGACCCGAAGAGCTCTCTCGCGGAACCCTTGCTTGGCGCGCAATGTGAAACTGTGGAAAAGCTCGTCTTCTGCTGGCGGGCACAGCTCTCGAAATTCTCGCGGCTCCAGCGTCAATGACCTTGTTGGGCAAAAAACAAATATCGAGCTGCAACGAAAAAGACTAGTCCAGCCAGCCCAAAAAAAAAAACAACCAAAAGAAAACAGTCTGCTGCGCCCAGACGGGTGTCGTGCTTCCGACCCCAACAGTTGCTCGCGCACTATGCACCCAATCATGCAGGGCCAAGCAGTCGTTGTTGGTCAGCCACACCTTCACAGGCGATTCTGTGTCGTTGTGAACTCCAATGGGAGCCCGCGCCGCCACCTCAGGTCGATTTTGAGGGCAATAAGTATGAAGTGGCGTTTCTGCATACTTAGCACGCAGCGGTTCCGATGGGAAGCTACTTTGCGCCTAACCCACCCTTCAACTAAGTAGACTAGACAAATGTCCCAATTCACACCTCACCAGGGCGCTTTACCATTACCATCCCTTGCGTTTCCGCGCTATCCCTCTTTCGAGGATGCAGATAGGCTGCGAAAGTTGGCACTACTACAAGACGGGTGGCCCGAAAGCATTTTCCGTGACACGCAGCCTGAAGCGGTCCATTTTTCAAACTATACAACGCGAATGCGAGCACGGTGGCAGTGCCACAGGCAACAATTTCCAAGGTATATGAAGAAAGACAACTCCGTTTGAAGACTCGCCATGGAAGAGACCACATCGTTCCGACAAGAGGGTTCCCATCCTGCAGAATTCTTACTGCACATGTTGTCTTTGCGCAAGTTGTTCTGTGCAGGTCTGCTTTCAGCAAGTTGCCACGCGCAACGTACTTCGCGTACTACTTGAACTTGGACTTTTCAGCCGGAGCTGCGGGCAACACGTACTACTTTGAACTTAAAAGTTCCGACTTTGCAGCTGGAGCTGCCGGAACGTGCTTCGCATACTACTTTTGTATTTAAAAGTTACGACTTTGCAGCTGGAGCTGCGGGGACGTACTTCGGGTACTATTTTGGTACTTAAAAGTTGCGACTTTGCAGCCGGCTTGAAAGTTGCGACTTTGCAGCCTGATCCCTGCAGACGGGCGCGCGCAGACCGCGAAGATTCACACGGGAACATAGCGAGAGCGATCTGTCACGCACAATCCCCGCAGAGGGTCGTGCGCGCAGCGAAGAAAACGCAAAAAATACTCAGCTTTTGCACCTCGACCACGCGAATCCCTGCAGAGGGTCGCAAGCGCGACTCAAGAATTGCAAAAAAAAACAAACGCAGTTTATGCACATCGACCACGCCGATCCCTGAGAGGGTCTCATTTTTGCAGAGTGTGTTTGGTCCCACCGCGCCGCCTTAAGATACTAAACTTATGTTAGTGCGCAAGTTTCCTCAAGTCGTGTGAGAAGGAATGCAAGGTCGCGACGCATTTCACTGTGCGCTTTGCCTACGCATGCCTCTATGCATTTCACTGTCTACTTTTCCTGCGCATGCCTCACTGTCTACTTTCCCTGTGCATGCATCTGCGCACTTCACTCTGTACTTGCCCTATGTGTGCCTCTATGCATTTCACAGTCTACTCTGCGCACGCCTCTGTGCATTTGACTGTCTACTTTCCCTGCGCATGCATCTATGCACCTCGCTCTGTACTTGCCCTACGCATTTCCCTGTCTACTTTCCCTGCACAGGCCTCTATGTATTTCACTGTCTACTTTCCCTGTGCATGACTCTCTGCATTTCACTGTGCACTTTCCCTACGCATGCCCCTATGCATTTCACTGCGTACTTGCCCTATGCATGCCTCCATGCGTTTCACTGCAGTTGAGCTCTGCAGAACGCAACGACTTTACCGGAAGAACCTTCGCAATGCTTTCGGGAAAAAAGTGTACTACGTTGGCTTTGGAAACCTTGCCTTCGCCTTGCCATACAAACGCCAGCAACTCGAAGCAAAGGCAGCAGCTGCCGGAATGGCAAAGGCCGGCTGTGAGGCAACAGAAAGCGCCTTCGCCAAAGTTGTGGATAGGGTGGTAGCAACACCCGACGTGCCTGCCGCTGCTGTGGATGCGCCCGCTGTGGATGCGCCCGAGCTGCCAACAATCGCAGTGGAAGCGCCCCCCGATGTGGCAGCGGCTGCTGTGGCCGTGCCCGCTGCGCCGCCCGATGTGGCAGCGGCTGCTGTGGCTGTGCCTGCTGCAAGCGCCGCGGAAGCGCCCCCCGATGTTGCTGCAAGTGCAATGGAAGCGCCGCCCGATGTGGCTGCGGCTGCCGTGGCCGTGCCCGCTGCGCCGCCCGATGTGGCAGCGGCTACTGTGGCTGTGCCTGCTGCAAGCGCCGTGGAAGCGCCCCCCGATGATGCTGCAAGTGCCGTGGCCGTGCCCGCTGCGCCGCCCGATTTGGCAGCGGCTGCTGTGGCCGTGCCCGCTGCAAGCGCCGTGGAAGCGCCCCCCGATGTTGCTGCAAGTGCCGTGGAAGCGCCCCCCGATGTGGCTGTGGCTGCTGTGGCCGTGCCCGCTGCGCCGCCCGATGTGGCAGCGGCTACTGTGGCTGTGCCTGCTGCAAGCGCCGTGGAAGCGCCCCCCGATGTTGCTGCAAGTGCCGTGAAAGCGCCGCCCGATGTGGCTGCGGCTGCCGTGGCCGTGCCCGCTGCGCCGCCCGATGTGGCAGCGGCTGCTGTGGCTGTGCCTGCTGCAAGCGCCGTGGAAGCGCCCCCCGATGTTGCTGCAAGTGCCGTGGAAGCGCCGCCCGATGTGGCAGCGGCTGCTGTGGCCGTGCCCGCTGCAAGCGCCGTGGAAGCGCCCCCCGATGTTGCTGCAAGTGCCGTGGAAGCGCCCCCCGATGTGGCAGTCGCTGTGGAAGCACCGCCTGACGTGGCACCGCATGTTGCGAATGAGCCGAATTTAAACGCAAATGCTGTTGATTCACCGGAGCTTGCCGTGGCAACTGCAAGTGTTCCCATACCTGCTGCATGTGCAGCGGTGGCGGCTATGGCTGCTGCATGTGCCACCGCTGCACTGGAGGTGGCTGCTGCATGTGTTGCTGCATGTGCCGCCGCATGTGTGCTTGGCTGGCCAGACACGCACCAAGTGGCAAAGTGCTCGCCGATATTGAGCAGAAAGCTGTAGTCACCCTGGCCCAATTGCGATCGAGCTTTCCCGAGTACTTCTTGAGCTTTGGTCTGCGAGGACGATGCCCAGACCACTCGCCAGCATGAAGGGTTGTCATCGAAGTTGTGCATTCGCACGATGCACTGGGAACCCGACGAATCCGATGAACCGAGCCCCACACCTTGTGGATCATCAGATTGTGAATAGTGAATGAGCTGCCATTGTGCAACATCAAGGATTGCATGGTGGAATTTGAAAGGAATGCCAGCTATCGGGTGATGAATGTGTGCCACCAGCAAGCGGCTCCCTCGAACCTTCCGCACATACTGAATGTGCAGTTTTTCGCTTGGAGTGTTTGCAACCATAGCAGTCATGGCAATATTCTGAAGATTCTAAAGGTGTGCCGAGTCCTCCTTGGGAGGGCACTTGCATCTTTGACCCAATGGCAGCACGGGACAGCTACGTCAAACTCATGCGGTCAGCAAAAGAAATTGCAAGATCTGCAACTTGCGCTCACAAACACATGCTTTTCAGACACTGAAAGATGAAGGGCACCGCTAAGGCTATATAAAAGTGCCCGCCCAACCTTGCATTTCACGCATCCCCCCCAGTACCCAATGTCTGCACTTTCGCGTGGCCTCCCAAACCTGGCCAAATCTCCCCAGCACCCTGCCATCGCACCCCTCGAGCGATGGCTTGCCTGTCGGCCAAGCCTTTGCCCAGCGCCTGCAGCAAACTCTGCGCTTTTAATATCTGGGACTGCCTGTCCTCAGGTTCCATGTTAGTGGGCGGGGAACCTTTCTCCGCTACAAAACTCCTCTGACGGATAGCATCTGCACAAACTACTACAAGTCACAAACTACTACAACTACAAGTCACAATAGTGCAAACATGTCATGGTCTTTGACCACCTGCGCTCGTCATCTTCAACGACACTCCGCCCAGCACGCGCCAGCCTCGGAAGGATCGGCCGCCTCCACTCGGCCTCCACAGACGGAGAGTGAGCAGAGCGCATCCCCGTCGCATCCTCTGAATGGGAAAGGGCTGTATTGGGGACAACAAACACTCCTTCATGTTACATGCATTATTACTTTGAGATGCGCATACCATTCAGGTGTCCATTCAAGTTCATGTACCCCTTCCGATTTGACGCTTCATGGCAGCTTTTGGGGTAGCATTTGGAGGGCTAGGGTTGTGTAGGTTTAGGGGGGACTATGGGTAGGATATGGTGGGATTGAGGTAGGTTTAGGGTGGTAGGGTGGACTTCAGGGTGGGCTTGGGATGGGTTTAAGGAGTTGTTGGTTTGGTTTGCGGCACATGCTTAAGCCAATTGAAGAGGAGGCCGAGGACAGTAAGAAGATCATTCCGAGCTACAGCTGCGCAAAGCTATCTGTGTCACTTGAGCGAAAAGGACTTAATGTAACAAAAAATATATCAGAAGCTTGAAGTGGGCAAGACCTTGCTGCGAGTTCTGGGATGACTGCCCAGGAAACGGTCAGGAATCTTCACCCTTTGCTTTACGTGCCCTCGAAAGGCGGAACGTTGATCTCCCTTGGAGTCCCTTCAAACCATCGGCAAAAGGGGGTCCCCAATTTTGAGCCCCTTCACATAGATATTCGTTTTGGATCTCGTCACACCATCAATGCCCTTCACGTCGCGGCGCTTGCCTCGGCAGCGCCACTCCTCAGGCAGCGACTCCTCCGGCACAATTGCCCCGAAGCGCGCCTGGCAGTGAGGGTCTTGCTCTCGCGGGTATGTGCCTTTGTTGTTGCTTTTCCAAGGATACGTACCTCGCTGGGGTCGCTTTTGAAGGGAAACCAAAGCGAAGCCAACCTATTAGAGCGTGGCTCTCTTTTTGAGGGTACCTTTTTTGGGGGTCGGGTCCCCAAAAGCAACATCTTCAGTCAGCCGGAAAGCTTCGTCCAGCCTCAGCTATGACACCCATTCACGCGAAGGGTAACATTCCTGACTCACGAGTTTACCCTTGCCTCGCTGGCTGGCCGCTTGCACCATGTAATTTGCCAGCGGATTCGCTAACCACGTGGTCTCAAAGAAGAGTCCTCACATGAGCCCCAGGATCGCTCAAGCGGTGGGAGTTTTCATGGGTTCCCAAATGGATTTTCATGGGTTTCTCGTGGGATTTCCACTGCGGCCTTCAGGTCCAGCATCGTCTCGAAGTGCGCCAAGAGCTGGGCCTGGAGAAAAAGCCCATGGGAAACCCATGGGAAACCCATAATACGAATAACAATAAAAATACTATGATAAATAAATAAAAGTTGAAACTCATGGAAACCCTTGGTGGGGATCCACGCAAAAGCCACGGAAACCCGAGAAATTATGGGAAATCCATAAGGTTAGAACGACGACAAATGAACTTGTTGTAGGTGGGTTTCCTGTTGTTTGTTGTTTTGTAGCCGAAGTAGATGCAGCCCTTTGCTGTGATGTGCAATAAACTCGTAAAAAGTCCTAACTCCTACCTACTCCTAATTGATCACGCGCGCACGATGGTTTATTAGACCAAGCTCATTGATCCAGGGTCAACTACCACCACTAACCATGGCACCCAAAAGAACGAAAGGACTGCTACAATAAGCGTGGGGCCCCTCAAGACAGGTTGGCAACGTTGCAGGCCTACTCATTGAGTGCGGCGACCTTCAAACTAGGGAGAATGCCACGGATGTTGGCTAAGCCCGTTGAGTGCAGGGCCCTTCAAACGGGGGGATGATCAAGGCTGCCCATCGAGTGCGGGAATCTTCAAACTGGGGATGATGCTACGGATGCTGGCCGGGCTCGGATCGTGGGCAGGTTGGCAACCTGCAGGACTGCTAATTGAGTCAGGAGCCCTTAAAGTTGAGGATGATTCTGCGGATGTTGGCCCGGCTCGGGTCTGGGCTTAACGATCCGCAACCTGCAGCTGCCAATTGAGTAAAGAGCCGATGCTACGGATGTTGGCTTGGCTCGCATCTTGGGCCTGCAGGTTGGCGACCTTCAGGACTTCCAATTCTGAAGAGCCTTTGAAGTTGTACAGATGCTGGCAAGGCTCGGATCGTGGGCCTGCAGGTTGGCAACCTGCAGGACTGCTAATTCTCACGAGCCTTTGGCCTTTGGGGATGATGCTACGGATGCTGGCCAGGCTCGGATCGTGGGCCTGCAGGTTTGGCAACCTGCAGGACCGCTAATTCTCACGAGCCTTTGGCCTTTGGGGATGATGCTACGGATGCTGGCCAGGCTCGGATCGTGGGCCTGCAGGTTTGGCAACCTGCAGGACCGCAAAATCTGACGAGCCTGTGAGGTTGGGGATGATGCTACAGATGCTGGTTAGGCTCGGATCGTGGGCCTGCAGGTTAGCAACCTGCAGGACTGCTAATTCTGAGCCTTTGAAGTTGGGGATGATGCTACGGATGCTGACCAGGCTCGGATCAATCGTGGGCCTGCAGGTTGGCAACCTGCAGGACTGCTAATTCTGACGAGCCTTTGAAGTTGGGGATGCTACGGATGCTGGCCAGGCTCGGATCAATCGTGGGCCTGCAGGTTGGCAACCTGCAGGACTGCTAATTCTGACGAGCCTTTGAAGTTGGGGATGCTACGGATGCTGGATCGTGGGCCTGCAGGTTGGCAACCTGCAGGACTGCTAATTCTGACGAGCCTTTGAAGTTGGGGATGCTACGGATGCTGGCCAGGCTCGGATCAATCGTGGGCCTGCAGGTTGGCAACCTGCAGGACTGCTAATTCTGACGAGCCTTTGAAGTTGGGGATGCTACGGATGCTGGATCGTGGGCCTGCAGGTTGGCAACCTGCAGGACTGCTAATTCTGACGAGCCTTTGAAGTTGGGGATGCTACGGATGCTGGCCAGGCTCGGATCAATCGTGGGCCTGCAGGTTGGCAACCTGCAGGACTGCTAATTCTGACGAGCCTTTGAAGTTGGGGATGCTACGGATGCTGGATCGTGGGCCTGCAGGTTGGCAACCTGCAGGACTGCTAATTCTGACGAGCCTTTGAAGTTGGGGATGCTACGGATGCTGGCCAGGCTCGGATCAATCGTGGGCCTGCAGGTTGGCAACCTGCAGGACTGCTAATTCTGACGAGCCTTTGAAGTTGGGGATGATGCTACGGATGCTGGCCAGGCTCGGATCGTGGGTGCAGGTTGGCAACCTGCAGGACTGCTAATTGACTGAGGAGCGTCGAAGTCAGGAGTCTGTGCCCCAGGTCGATTGGCAGATTGACCCAATGGCTGTAGGGGGGAAATCGTCGAACTTCACACAAAAACAAATGGCGGTGCCCCAACAGATCGCGAGGGGCAAGCTCCGCCGCTCCGCCTGGCGTGGGGCCCCCGGCGATCTCCGGCAACCGCAGTCGGTCGCCCCGCGGAAGCAGCAGGACGCGCAGCTGGGGCATGGCAGCCTCGAGCTGAGCAAGGTGGGCGTTGCGCGGGCGTGGTGCCACATAGCAAGGGAGCCCAAAACTTGAAACCACCCCGGATCAAAATCAGGGCTTGCAGCCGCTCCCTCCCTCGGGCCTTGGCCCAGGCCTGCGTGGCAGCCACGGCCTGAACGCCCTGGCTGAAGCATAGGCGTCGAAGGAAGTTCCGACTGAGAAACCGAGAAAAATAGGGGTTGAACCTAAACATGCAGTTGGGTTCCAAAGTTGAATTGTGCCAAAAGGAACGAACTCGATAAAAAAGAAGTAATGTCACAGGAAACTGTGTGAAGTAAAGGTGAATTACTTTTGCGTTCAAGCCTCAGTCTGCAAAATGTTGCAAAAAGTCCAAGTCCAAGGCCTGAAATATATACGGGATCCCCAGGTAAGGACCCACATAAGTTTTGAGCTCGCTTTGCCTCCAGGTAATATCGCCATACAGTAAGGCAGGCAGAACAAAGGGTTGGGTTGGATCTACAAGAAACAATGGATTGGGTTCCTCAGTGGGCTGCAAAAATGGTTCAACCTGCAGCTGGGACGTTCCAAAAAAGGCAGCCCACATCTTCACTGAGTCCCCAAACCTCTTGTCCACACTGTTTGTTGCCGAAATATATCTTCATCCCAGGTTTGGTGACAAAGAGTGCTCGTCACTTTTGGGCGACTGGTGGGGCCCAATTCTTGAAAAAACATGGTACTCAACCCCTATTGTTCGAACAAACTCATTTTGCTTTCCCTTGCCAGCGAGCCCTGAAGCCTAGGGTTTATAGTGTTGCTTGGGTATTGGGCGCCTTGGGGAAGGTTGGGGCATCACGGGTGCCTTGAGCATTCAAAAGCCACTGCGCAGCACTGACATGTCAAGAACATGCGCATTCCTACAGGAGCTAGCTTCAATGTCCACCCCATCGTTGTATCACCCGAAAAACTAGACACTGAAAACACCACTGAACAAACCACCAATAAACCAAGACCACCCCTCAAGAAACACCACCCCCTCACATAACCACCCCTTAAGAGAACCATCCCGTAAACAACCCTCAACGTTGCGGAGCCCTAAACATCCTTATCCCAGAAATTGGCGCCTCCCAGCCGTCGCCGGCGCCCAGCACGCTCTTGGCGCCCGCAAAGGCTTGAAGCACAACCTGGCGCGAGAAGCGAGCAAAACAACGCTGAAACGAACACCGGTCTGCCCGCCCACACATATATGTAGTGTGTGTGTGTGTGTTTGCATGTGTGTTTCCTACGTATGTGTGTCCCATTGGTCAACCAGCCCCGCCTTCTTGGAAAGCCGTGCGCAGGAAGCAGGGGGCCCGATGTGCGCTGGCTCCAGGCAGAAGCGGCGGCACCAGGGGTTCCGCGACCCGGCGCCTGGAGACAATGTTCTAGATGATCGGATTGTACATATGTATATGTTTGCGAAAGTCTTATATAGATGTGTGTGTGTGTGTACAAAGGTACTACATATATTGTCTTGTGCGTGTGCTTATTGTGCCAGTGTCCTGTCATCTTAGCGTGTTCTTGTGCTGAACCATTGTCAATATCGTATGTCTGAATTCTAAATCTATGTAGGCATGCATGTAGGTATGTATGTATGCATATATGCATGCATGCAAGCACGTATGTACGTATGTATGCATACATGCATGCATGTATGTATTTATGTATGCGTGCGTACTGTATGTGTGTAATTTATGTGTAATGTATATGCGATGTAAGTGCAATGTATGTGTGATGTATGTGTAACGTGTGCAATGCAATGTGTGCAGGTATGCATGTGTGAATGGTGCTGTGTTGTATTGTGTTATGCTGCCGTGTAAGGCTTGGTTTGGTATGACATGATATGATATGTATGGAATGCATGGAATGAATGGCATCAATGCTATGTATGTATGGTAGGTACCGTGCGCGTGTGTACATATATAATTCTATACATATGTAATGTATTGCATTGTGTTATCTTGTGTTATCTTGTGTTGCATTGCATTGCATTGCATTGCATTGCATTGCATTGCATTGCATTGTATTGCATTGCATTGTATTGTATTGTATTGTATTGTATTGTATTGTATTGTATTGTATTCTGTTGTGTTGCGCTATGTTGTGCTGCGTACAGTATGTGTGGAATTGTTTTGCTTGCTTCTTCGCTTTTTGTTTTTTGCTCTTACGTAGAATCATGTTTGATGAATTGTGAATAACTAAGGAGGAGTAGCTCGAATTGCCACATGTTCCTTCGTGTCTCCCACTTCGAAGAGCAACAGTCGGTAACTTGAATTGGCAGCTAGCCAAGTCGAGCTATTCTCTCCTATCCTATCTGCTGTATCTTCATGAAGCGTAGTTTGCCCATGCACGTTTCTCTGCAAACAATTGTGTTAATTGTAAACCTGAGAAAAAAACAAAACCCCGCAAAACGAACACTTAGTCAATCGGTCAGTCAGTCGCCGACTCAATCAGTCAATCAAATCAAGTCAGTCAAACCAATCCAATCCAACCCAATCCGATCCAACCAACCAACCAATCAATCAAAACTTCAAACAAATCAAGCAAATCAAGATAAATCAAATCAAATCAAACCAAGTCAAAACAAACCAAATTAAGCACAAACCAAAACAAACCAAACCAAGCCAAACCAAACCAAACCAAACCAAACGAAACCATCAATCAATCAATGATTTAATCAATCAATCAATCAATCAATCAATCAATCAATCAAGCAATCAATCAAATCAAACCAAAACAAATCCAAGTCAAATCAAATCAAATCAATAAATCAACCAACCAACCAATCAATCAATCAATCAATCAATCAAATCAATCAGACAATCACGCAATAAAACAATCACACAAACAACAAACGAACACACAAACAAGCAAGAACAAACAAACAAGCAAGAACAAACAAACAAGCAATCAAACAAACAAGCACAAAAGGAAGAAGCGAGCAGATTGTGGAGCACCTAACTGCCCACGCTCTTCGGCAGAACGATCAGAATCCAACTAGGACAACGACGGACGCTTGCAAACACATGCTTATAGGGTGCGGATTTATTTTGGTTGTTTTTTTTTTGTTTTTTGTTTGTTTCCCGTTTTATATATATATATATATTTATTTTTTTTGTTTTCGTCCGGGCCAGTAAAATGTCGTATTTTCTCGCAAAATTGACGTATTCTACTCTAGCCCGTCAACATCCCGAGCATCGTTTTCAACATCCCCCGCATGTCCGACCAACATCCCTAGCATCACCAACAAATCGTAGTAACAAAATCTAGCAAGTAGCTGGCGGGTTGACGGGATCGAAAAAATGATGATTCAAATAGGAGGGCAGGACACTCGCTGCAAAGCAAATCGAAAGCCGACCCCCCAATGATGTTCGCAGAAGTGATGATTCGAATAGGGGCGCAACTAAATCTCTGCAAAAAGTCTAAAAAGCAGCGGGGGGGGCGGCAGCCCCCCCATGATGTTCGAGGAAGTGATGATTCAACTAGGGGTGCAATTAAATCTCTGTAGAAAATCGAAAAAGTAGCGGGGGGCGGCAGCCCCCCCATGATGTTCGAAGAAGTGATGATTCAAATAGGGGTGCGATGATTCAAGAAAGGGTGCGATAGAATATACAAAGCAGCGGGAGGGTTGGCGGGGGTGGCTTCCCCTATGATTTCGAAGAAGTGCATACATACAAACATACATAAATTACATAGATTACATACATTACATAAAATGCTGTGTTTTACAGCATTTTCTCGCGAAATTGGATGCTCGAAAAAGTGATGAACCAAATAGGGGTGCAATTAAACTCTGCAAGAAACCTAAAAAGTAGCGAGGGTTCGGGGGGAGGCGCCCCCGCCCATGATGTTTGAAGAAGTGATGATTCAAATGGGGGTGCAATCGAATCTTTGCAAACAATCCAAAAAGTTGCGGGGTGGTTGGGGGGGCGGCAGCCCCCCCCCCATGATGTTCGAAGAAGAGATGATTCAAATTGGGAGGGACTGATGATGCTGAGGATGCAGGAAGCCAAAGCCAAAAACCAATGAATCGGAGAGGAACTGGGAATGCAGAGGATGCGAAAAGCCAAAGCCAAAAAGCCACCAAAAATCCTAAACCAACAAGAAGCCAAAAAGCCAAGAAGCCAAGAAGCCGAAAAGCCAAGAAGCCAAAAGCGACAAAAACAACAAAAAAAAAACTCCTTGTTTATCTGCGCCTTGTGCCAACTGATGACCTTTGCAAAGAGACGAGGAAAAATTGCAAAGGGGCACTGTTTCTTCACACCAAAAGCTTACAACGCTCTTAAGATTCCCGCTGATCCGCTGGGTGATGGCCAGAGCCTTGAGCGTACATGAGTGTGAATGCTGGACGGGTAAGGGCTGGGAGCGGTGTCATGATCGACTTGACTTAGTATTTGTGTCAACTGAGCACGGATTAGGATTCGGGATCCCCTTGCCAACAAAACCAACGAATCGACGTCCGGCCGCCGCGAATCGAGTCGGCCACGCCTCGCATGGCCTCGCAGGCGAAGCTCCAGAAGGAGCGGGCGCCCAGGCCCCGAGGACCCTGCGGAATTTTCGAACCGAATCGAAGAGTTTCCCAGCGGGTGCTTAAAATCATGGAGGTCGCACAAATTTTCTAAACTGCCCTGTGGGCAAGGGGCAAGTCTCAGGGAATGAGGGAATGACCGGAAACCCCCAAACGGCTCATCCCCACCAAAACCGATGGAAATGCCCTATAAAGCAATTCGATTTCACCAGCCCAAAATCGCAGCAAAACTTTGACGCCTCCTCAGCTTCCTTGGCCGCCGCCACCTTCGCCTCCTTCTCCTTTGCCTCCTTGTCCTTGATTGCCTTCTCCTCAGTGGGTACAGGCTACTCAGAAAGCCCGGGCTCAAGAAAGTTTGCCATGGGCAAAATTTTGCCCCAAACAAGCAAACGGCCCTGCCTCCGCGCCCTTCTCCTTTTCTTTGCCTTCCTCTGCATGTGCTCCACGCTCCACTCTCCTCTTGGTCTGGAACTTGGCCTTCTCCGACTTCACGGCCTGGCAGCAAAAAAAACGGCCGCGCGTGTATTGAACGGCAGAACCCCGCCAGCGTGCCCAGCCTTGGTGGGGCTGGTTGCTAGGACAAAATTATATTGATTCTTTGCAGGCTCAATGGAGAAAAAAAAACTTGCCTTTACAAGAATTAAGCGGCTACGGTTCCACCAAGGCCAACGCAATGGCTAGTGTCCTTCCTCCAAACTAAACAACAAATGAAGGAATATCCAACCTTGCTTTGTAACGTGGCAGACTGAGACCGCCGCAGACATTTATGCTTCATGGTGCCTGTCCAAAGATGCATCAGTCACCTGGGAGCGCAAGTTCGTGGAGCTTGTCTCTCGGATCATGTCATCAATTCCTACATGTCAAGCCCTTGGGTATTTGGGCCTGGCAATAGCTCTGTGATGTCCTGTGTTTCTGGTTGCTTTAGAAGCTGTGCATGCTCTTCACGTCGCCGAAACGGCTCCCAAAAAAATCGAAACTATGTTGCTGACGCTGGCTTCCCGAACAAGCACTTTCCATCACAATATAAACAAACTTCAGATGGATCTTTCGGAATCCCGGCAGGTGCCCAAGTTCCTACGACCCTGCCTCGCCCTTTGCGTCGTCCGCACCGCCTGCGCCCGCCGGGTCGGGCGGCGCCTGGTACGGGCAGAGAGCTCCAGTTCGGTTCTCCGGGCGAAGCTCTCTCCGGAGGTTCTTCGAGATGTTTCTCAAAAATGGCTGAAAAAGGCGATTAGTTGTAGTTCCTTGGGTTTTCTTTGAAACACCAATCAGAAAGGTGCACTCGAATAGTGTGACAAGCCAACTTCGTCATTGTTCGCGGGGTTCTCAACAAGTATTGATTTCAGGCTCCTTGAGGGGTCAGGTCCAGGCGTGCATCGAAGGGTTTTGGCTTCAAAGCAGCGGGTGAGACCCCCGTCCTGGGAAAAAACACACTTCTTCCGCCAAACCGGAAAACTTACAATGCCAAATATTGGCAATATAGGGAATTCCCCAACGGAACCTGCACCTTCATCATCTTTTTACTCAGGGGCCCAGTCCCATGCAAACGTACGGTGCAACTTGCCTCAGGGGCCGCCTCCTTGGACTCATAGAGCTGCTGGCGGTACGCGATGACCTAGATCGATGAGGTGACAAACCCTTCCGAAACATCAGCCGTGCCTGGAGTCCACGCAACAAACCCCTTTGATAAACTTACCCGAAGATGAAGTGAGAGGTTGCTGACAGTGAGAGCCTGTCTGGGACTCTAGCTTCCCACGTGGGCCCGCTGCAAACAAAATGTCCAAAGATGCCAATCAAGCTATTCCAGCAATCCTGCCAGTGACATTTGCACAGCCAAAAAAGCAAAAATAAAGATACACAAAGCGCGGACCAAACCCCAACCCAACCGACCCCAGCCTCCTCCTTAGTGGCACCAGACTGGAACCTTGCAAACAGGACGCTCTGAGCAAAATGTGGGCCATGGTCATGAGTCCTTTAGGATCATTACCATGTTGTCGAACATATCTTTAAAGGGCGCACATAGTTCATGGGGAGACCATGTCCTGTGCCCAACAAAACGCGCCGGTGTCCAAACAAGAAAGATCAGAAAACGTGGTGAGATCTACCACACAAAATGATTTCCCAAAACAAGTTTATCTTGGTGGATCAAACAAAAGACCAAGAGCATCATGAGGCTGTGAAGGCTGTCTTGCACTTTCAATCTGCTTCCGCCCGGTCTCCAAGGTGAGAGGAGGGGTCACAGCAATTACTCAGGTGATGTTGCTTGGGCTTGCAGGGCTTGCATTCCCAACATCCCTCCTAGATCCGAAGTCAGTGATGATGCCTGACTGATGAAATACGCCTATGCATCCCCCACACAGGCCCTGCCAAAACCAAACATCACAACTTTCCACCTAGACAAAACAGCTTGCAATGCTCTCCAAGCCGCACTTGGGAGTGTGTCTTAAGATACGGGTACTTCTGCCGGGCTTGGCCCGCAGTCGGTTTTTCTATTGAACCAACTCAAAGAGGATACCCTCGCAAAAAGAGACTCCGATACCCGTTCTCCTCCCATTGCAAATGGTGGGGGCCCGATTGAACCGTTCACTTCAGCCTCCCCCCCCCCCTCCCCCAACCCCCGGCCTCTCATAGCACTGCCGACAAATGCGCTCCGCCGCCTCTTTGCTGCCAGCCTCACTCAGGGCGCTTCTTCGGCCTGCACCTTCTGCTTCTTTGTTGTCATATCTTTGGCAAATGGATTTGTAGCTTGCACTAATGGATTGTCTCGTGTTTCTCTTGGATTTCTGATGCTTGCTTGTTTGGCAGTGTTTGTCTTTGTGGTTGTTTTGATGTGCCTTTGTTTTGTTTCTTGTGGTTAGGGGAGAACAGGGTTTAACAGGCGACATTCGGTTGATGCATTTTCCGTGGTTCACCGCCATGAAACAAGGGTTTACAAGGTGCTCACTTGGGTTATGTACCTAGCAATGCCTCCCTGACCATCCAAGCCTCCCTGACCATCCAAGTGAGTTAGTCTCCCTTTCACAATTGAGACAATGACAGAAGAGTTGCGGAAGACTACCTTCGTCTACCCCTGTCCGCTTCAATGATTGAAGAAGAGAGGGCAGCAAGTGGCAGAAAACAAGTGCTGGTCATGCCCGACTTGCAATAAGGTTCGAGAACGCATGCATGAGTTGTAGCCAGGATCCAATGGAGGTTGGCTGAAGTGTGGTTGAGGCTTCCGGATCTGCTTGAACCACCTCAGGTAGGACTCGCTGCTGCACAGAGTTGCTGCCAGCTCTATCCCAAAGAAAGCACACCCGGCCACTGGGTCTCCACGTCCTTCAGGCCAGCCTGTTGGCCCCGAGTCCCGCGCGGCTTTGCAGGTGGTCTGGAAGGGCACCGCCTTCCCCGCCACCTTGAAGCAGAACATGAAGCGCCGGTCCTGGGATCCAACTCCCAAACGAAACCGCAAAATAAGTCGTCATCACTTGAGACCAAAGCTCCAGATGAATGGGGAGCCTCTCCTGGGGACTCCTCAAATCAGAACTGGGGATCCGTGGGGGCCTGAGCTTGGTCAAATAAAACCCAACGGGTCTCTGGCTGTTGAGGGTACCCTTTCCCATCTTGGCTTCAAGGCCCCACCATTCGGCGCATACGCAAATGGAATGCGCAAAGAGAAACACAAAACTAACACGTTGCCCCATGGCGCAGTGAGGCATCCCCCACCCCGCTCCTTCTCATCCCATCGGATCTTCCGGGCCTTGCGAGGAATCTGCCGAAGAAAGTGTCGGCTCCCTTGTCAGCGTTTTGCTGTGCACCATGGTCCTAATGTTGGCTTGCAGGAATCCTTGTGCAGATGTCTGTTCTGACCACGCCAGGAAAGCCAGAGCTTCTCTGCTCTGGACACTGACAGCTCCTAAGAACAAGTGGTCTCCTCCTATTGTTCAGGGTGTTCACAAGCTGAAGATACCTCTGAGTCTGCAGCGCGTGGTTTCTGGTTGACCTGGCCACCCCACCCCGTCCCGAGGCCCCCAGCAGGCTCCGCAGTATCGAGAGCCTCCTGCGTCAGCTGTCACGAAATCAGGACATTGCCAAAACCAAAAGAACTGGAGGAAAGGAAAAACAATGGTCGTGTTCCAAAATGGAACACACCGAGGAAAAAATTGATGGGCCGATGTGGGCAAGTCTCCGTTGTAATGAATCGATTTTACCAACGTGTCCAAAAGCAAAAGCGCACCATACTCCTGACAATCCCCATACAAGGATGTCTGCAAGAGCGTGAATTGACCCATAGAGAAAACATATTTCTGCCAACCTTGCGCGGGTTGACTCACTCTACTTCCTGGCTCCACACGCGGTGAAGTGTCTGCTCTGAGCGCAAGGTACGTGCTGCTTGCAGCTGTCCCACATGATGTCCACAGTTTGGCACTAGCCGCTTGGACTACCTGCTCTCATAGTGTTGTTCTGTTGGCAGAGGGAGCCGAGAGAGAGCTTCTGTGTTGCGCGTGCGTGCGCGCAGCCTCTCACTCCTTGCGCCAGACTGCGGTAGCCCCAGCCCCTCGCCCTTGCACTACCGCTGTACCACTATGGCTTTCGCTCTGGCCCTCAGGCCCAACTTTAAGGTATTTGGGCTCATTCCCCTCACCTTGCCGCTTCGCCGAGTTGTTTGTCAATTGTGCACTGTATCTTTGCTCCTTTGGTGAGAAGCCCTGGATCCTGACCCAGAGAGTGGCTGTAGCTTTGGCAGTTGGAAAGTCTCCTAGCCCTTACTACGGCTGCGGCGTTTCTTTAGTGCCAAGCGCAGACTCTCACGCAAATACATTCAGGCATGGGAGGCATGAATATGGCTTGCGGGCTGCCCAGCTTCCCCACGGAGCAAGAACGGAGATGAAATGAAGCCTCTACTAAAACACATTTGCCCTGGCCGAGGTGGGCAGCGCGAAGTGGTTTCCAATATTTAGTTTAATGTTGTTGCTATTGCTGTTGCTGTTCTTGCGGTTGCTGTTGCTGTTTGCTGTTATTGTTGCTGTTGTCGTTGTCGCTGTCGTCGTCGCCAATATTTATTGTTACTTGTTATCACTACTACTACTACCACCACCACCACGACGACTACTACTGCTACTGCTACTGCTACTGTTACTACTAGTACTACTAGTACTACTAGTACTACTAGTACTACTACTACTACTACTACTACTACTACTACTACTACTACTACTACTACTACTACTACTACTACTACTACTACTACCTCTACTACCACGACTACGACTACTACTACTACGACTACGACTACGACTACTACGACTACTAGTACTGCTACTTCTACTACTTCTACTACTTCCACTACCACTACCACTACCACTGCCACTACCACTACCGCGTCTTCACCCTAAACTGATGGTTTGGATAGGTAAATCCTCGTAAAGCTGAGGATTTGAGGGGAAGCTACACCCCGAACCACACGTGCTGCGGGTACTGCTGCTGCTGCTGCTGCTGCTGCTGCTGCTGCTGCTGCTGCTGCTGCTGCTGCTGCTGCTGCTGCTGCTGCTGCTGCTGCTGCTGCTGCTGCTGCTGCTGCTGCTGCTAGTACCACTACTACCACTACTATTGCTATTCATCAATGATCACTGTTATTACAAATACTGGTGCTATTGTTGTTACTGGTGTGCCATTAGCGGTACCGATACCATTACAATTATTCTCTAAAATAAGAGTGGCATTGCTATTATTATTACTATTATTGTTATCATTGTTGTTACCACATTGTTTATTATTTTAACTATTGTAATTTTGGATAGCCCCTCTACTATCCCCATTGGTTGTTTGCCTTTTGGAATCTTTCCGCGAGACGGTTCCAACTAATTTCGACATATGGATATGTCGGTTGTTGAGGGTACACAGTTCAGGTTGGGGAACCACAAGATAACCACAAGGAGAAACCAGCAAACCTTCATTTTCTTTGGGTCCCCTTTGGCTTCGTACCGCGAGAGTCCTGCCGCACCTCCGAATCCAGTTTCCCATCCTGAAAGCAAGACGAGCTGAATGTGTCAGGAACCCCCCCTCCCCGATCACTAGAGTCATGGTCTTTACCTTTTAGAAATAGTTCCAAAAATTGTTCCTGGTTCTGAGCCACAGCAACATTTGGTAACATGCTGTGTGGATCACGGAGCTAGAAACTTTGACAATAATATGTTTGAGCTCGCACGGCAAGGCATTGTACATTGCCAACAAAGAATCCGCAATGCTGTGGGGCCTCCACCGTACTTCCACCCGTGCGTTTCAACTAGGCGGAAAGAAAGTGTGCACTTCCTGCGCGTTGCATCTTGAAACAGAGAAAATCTAAAATTCGGTTCCAAGCCCAGGCTGACTCTGCTACCCTCGACCAACAAAAAGATGTCAAGGAAAGGCATGGTTGTGATCAAGAACCCGCCTCCTGCGGTTGATTTGCATCCTCGCTCTGGCTTTTGGCCTGCCCGCACAAGGGCCACAGGCGAGCCTCTGACCATTCTGCAGGATGCTATCACAATAGTTTCTTGGATATTTGAACAAATGGGCAATGATGCATGGCTTCGCGTCACCTTCTTGCTTTGGGCGTGGAGTGACTTAACCATCGGAAAAACGGACAATGCGCTCGGACTGGCAGTCATTCTCCTGGCAACCCATCTCGCAGCCAAGGCCTTCAACCACTGCAATCGGAAGCTACAGGGCCAGTCGGGGGGAGAAGGCTGTGGGGGACATCAGGGACATCAGGGACGTGATGGCAGGTGTGTAGCGGCGGCCACAGCTTCATTCGACCCCTCAAATGGTGGCTGCTCGCTATTGCATAGCAACTTATTTTCCTGTATTTGGCGTTGCAAACAGTCACCTCTCATTGCTCAGCTTTGCGGTTTGCCACTTTGCAGAGTTCATGTCAAAAGTGGAACCGTCAGTATCAAACTTGACAGCAACTGGCACATGTTGGAAAAATATCAGCAGAATGATCGTGCTCCTAGCTTGCACACCTTACACTTCCGATCGTGTTGGTTGTAATTCTTCAAGTCAATCACAATTCTAGCCGGTTTCAAATGGTATCGCTTTGGATGCCAAACAAAGCATTCCATCAACAGCCAAGCAACTCAAAGGGAATGTTAAGAATCTGAGGTCAAGAAATTGCTAAAGCAACGTATGCCAACAGAAACCCTTGACTGCTATCAGGCTCGTGCCTCAAATGCTGGATGCTTTCCATCCGCACTCTGGCTTTTGGCCTCCAAAGCACGTCATTCACTCTGGAAATCACCGAACACGACCTCTGACTCTTCTTCTAGCGATCACGTTCCAAACGCTTCACTAAAAAAACACATGTGCTGCCTGTCCATGGTGGCAAGCCTTGATTCCTTGGCTGGCACGGAACTTGACCTCATGGAAGCATAGGTTTGCAAGCAAATATCCTGCAACCGCTGGTGGAATCTACCGCACAGCACTCTGGCTTGCACTCATTCAACATTCACTTCCCTGTATGCCTCCCATTGCTTGTAGCCAAGATCCGCATTCTGGCAGCTTTTTGCCTGCAATCGCGCTTCTTTCACTGGGATCGAAAACCAGAAGAAGCCCAATTTGTGCTTACAGCGTTGCAACGACTGTGACGCAAGGCAGCAGGATGAATTCCCTGAGGCAGACATGTTCATGTTTATTGAACCCATGTCAAACTGTGGTAGCAAACTTCGCAAGAAATGTCACATCTTGATGTATCCGCAAGATGGATGAGCTTGTAGATTGCAAACCAACAAGACAACTTGCATAGCCGATCGCATTGGTTGTATGTCCCTTTGGATCCACGCTCCAGTCTCAAGTCAAACACCATTCTTACCAGTTTCAATTGTCATCTTCTTGGATGCCAAACATAGCATTGCACTAACACAAAGGCAAATTGACCGCGGGATGCCAACTGAGTCAAGGAATTAAGCTGGGTCAAGTGCTTACTACTTGAATACAAAGCAACGTATGCCAACAGAAACCCTTGACCGCTATCAGGCTCGTGCCTCAATTGCTGGATGCTTTCCATCCGCACTCTGGCTTTTGGCCTCCAAAGCACGTCATTCACTCTGGAAGTCACCGAACACGACCTCTGACTCTTCTTCTAGCGATCACGTTCCAAACGCTTCACTAAAAAAACAAATGTGCTGCCTGTCCATGGTGGAAAGCCTTGATTCCTTGGCTGGCACGGAACTTGACCTCATGGAAGCATAGGTTTGCAAGCAAAGATCCTGCAACCGCTGGTGGAATCTACCGCACAGCACTCTGGCTTGCACTCATTCAACATTCACTTCCCTGTATGCCTCCCATTGCTTGTAGCCAAGCGCATTCTGGCAGCTTTTTGCCTGCAATCGCGCTTCTTTCACTGGGATCAAAAACCAGAAGAAGCCCAATTTGTGCTTACAGCGTTGCAACGACTGTGACGCAAGGCAGCAGGATGAATTCCCTGAGTCAGACATGTTCATGTTTATTGAACCCATGTCTAACTGTGGTAGCAAACTTCGCAAGAAATGTCACATCTTGATGTATCCGCAAGATGGATGAGCTTGTAGATTGCAAACCAACAAGACAACTTGCATAGCCGATCGCATTGGTTGTATGTCCCTTTGGATCCACACTTCAGTCTCAAGTCAAACACCATTCTTACCAGTTTCAATTGTCACCTTCTTGGATGCCAAACATAGCATTGCACTAACACAAAGGCAAATTGACCGCGGGATGCCAACTGAGTCAAGGAATTAACCTGAGGTCAAGTGCTTACTGCTTGAATACAAAGCAACGTAAGCCAACAGAAACCCTTGACCGCTATCAGGCTCGTGCCTCAAATGCTGGATGCTTTCCATCCGCACTCTGGCTTTTGGCCTCCAAAGCACGTCATTCACTCTGGAAATCACCGAACACGACCTCTGACTCTTCTTCTAGCGATCACGTTCCAAACGCTTCACTAAAAAAACAAATGTGCTGCCTGTCCATGGCAACATCTTGGCAAGCCTTGCTTCCTTGGCTGGCACGGAACTTGACTTCATGGAAGCATAGGTTTGCAAGCAAAGATCCTGCAACCGCTGGTGGAATCTACCGCACAGCACTCTGTCTTGCACTCATTCAACATTCACTTCCCTGTATGCCTCCCATTGCTTGTAGCCAAGATCCGCATTCTGACAGCTTTTTGCCTGCAGCGCACTGCTTTCACGGGGATCGAAAACCAGAAGAAGCCCAATTTGTGCTTACAGCATTGCAAAGACTGTGACGCAAGGCAGCAGGATGAGTTCCCTGAGGCAGACATGTTCATGTTTGTTGAACCCATGTCAAACTGTGGTAGCAAACTTCGCAAGAAATGTCACATCTTGATGTATCCGCAAGATGGATGAGCTTGTAGATTGCAAACCAACAAGACAACTTGCACAGCCGATCGCATTGGTTGTATGTCCCTTTGGACTTACCAATTTCAATTGTCATCTTCTTGGATGCCAAACATAGCATTGCACTAACACAAAGGCAAATTGACCGCGGGATGCCAACTCAGTCAAGGAATTAACCTGAGATCAAGTGCTTAATACTTGAATACAAAGCAATGTATGTCAACAGAAACCCTTGACCGCTATCAGGCTCGTGCCTCAAATGCTGGATGCTTTGCATCCGCACTCTGGCTTTTGGCCTCCAAAGCACGTCATTCACGCTCGAAGTCACCGAACACGACCTCTGACTCTTCTTCTAGAGATCACGGTCCAAACGCTTCAATGAAAACAAGTATGCTGCCTGTCCATGGCAACATCTTGGCAAGCCTTGCTTCCTTGGCTGGCACGGAACTTGACTTCATGGAAGCATAGGTTTGCAAGCAAAGATCCTGCAACCGCTGGTGGAATCTACCGCACAGCACTGTCTTGCACTCATTCAACATTCACTTCCCTGTATGCCTCCCATTGCTTGTAGCCAAGATCCGCATTCTGACAGCTTTTTGCCTGCAATCGCGCTTCTTTCACGGGGATCGAAAACCAGAAGAAGCCCAATTTGTGCTTACAGCATTGCAAAGACTGTGACGCAAGGCAGCAGGATGAATTCCCTGAGTCAGACATGTTCATGTTTGTTGAACCCATGTCAAACTGCGGTAGCAAACTTCGCAAGAAATGTCACATCTTGATGTATCCGCAAGATGGATGAGCTTGTAGATTGCAAACTAACAAGACAACTTGCACAGCCGATCGCATTGGTCGTACGTCCCTTTGGATCAACAATCCAGTCTCAAGTCAAACACCATTCTTACCAGTTTCAATTGGCATCTTCTTGGATGCCAAACATAGCATTGCACTAACACAAAGGCAAATTGACCGCGGGATGCCAACTCAGTCAAGGAATTAACCTGAGGTCAAGTGCTTACTGCTTGAATACAAAGCAACGTAAGCCAACAGAAACCCTTGACCGCTATCAGGCTCGTGCCTCAAATGCTGGATGCTTTCCATCCGCACTCTGGCTTTTGGCCTCCAAAGCACGTCATTCACTCTGGAAGTCACCGAACATGACCTCTGACTCTTCTTCTAGCGATCACGTTCCAAACGCTTCACTAAAAAAACAAATGTGCTGCCTGTCCATGGCAACATCTTGGCAAGCCTTGCTTCCTTGGCATGGCACGGAACTTGACTTCATGGAAGCATAGGTTTGCAAGCAAAGATCCTGCGACCGCTGGTGGAATCTACCGCACAGCACTCTGTCTTGCACTCATTCAACATTCACTTCCCTGTATGCCTCCCATTGCTTGTAGCCAAGATCCGCATTCTGGCAGCTTTTTGCCTGCAATCGCGCTTCTTTCACGGGGATCGAAAACCAGAAGAAGCCCAATTTGTGCTTACAGCATTGCAAAGACTGTGGCGCAAGGCAGCAGGATGAACTCCCTGAGGCAGACATGTTCATGTTTGTTGAACCCATGTCAAACTGCGGTAGCAATCAATGAAAACAAATATGCTGCCTGTCCATGGCAACATCTTGGCAAGCCTTGCTTATTTGGCATGGCATGGAACATGACTTCATGGAAGCATAGGTTTGCAAGCAAAGATCCTGCGACCGCTGGTGGAATCTACCGCACAGCACTCTGTCTTGCACTCATTCAACATTCACTTCCCTGTATGCCTCCCATTGCTTGTAGCCAAGATCCGCATTCTGACAGCTTTTTGCCTGCAGCGCACTTCTTTCACGGGGATCGAAAACCAGAAGAAGCCCAATTTGTGCTTACAGCATTGCAAAGACTGTGACGCAAGGCAGCAGGATGAATTCCCTGAGTCAGACATGTTCATGTTTGTTGAACCCATGTCAAACTGCGGTAGCAAACTTCGCAAGAAATGTCACATCTTGATGTATCCGCAAGATGGATGAGCTTGTAGATTGCACACCAACAAGTCAACTTGCACAGCCGATCGCATTGGTCGTACGTCCCTTTGGATCAACACTCCAGTCTCAAGTCAAACACAATTCTCACCAGTTTCAATTGGCAGCAATGGTTGGTAGCAAACTTGGCAACAACCGGCACCCCTCGGAACATAACTTGATAAGATCATAGATTTGCACGTACAAAACTCAAAACAATCCTGCTGGGGCATGTTCCTTATCTGACACTGCAATCTGACTTATATTCGCTCAGCTTGTGTTCATTAAGCATGCATGGTGTGCCAATTCAAATATGTCGCCTCTGCCCTCCGTGCCAAATAAATGACAATATGTCCCAATGAGTGTGCCTCCCATTGCTTGTAGCCATCCGAGTTCTCGCTGGTCGTCGCCAGTCGGAATTCTCTCAAAGCAGAAACCAGAACGAGCCCAACTCGTGCGTACAGAATTCCAATGACTCCTTCAAGCAAGGGGCATCGTTCTAGTCTTGCTTGAAGTTGAAACTCAACAATCTCCATTACCAGAAGCTATCTTCGCAATTGGAAGCCATTGCACATCGGCAAATTGACCGTGTTCCTAATTTCGACCATCCGTAGTGGAAAGCCGTGGAGTTGAAGGCACTGCAAAGCGCGTCTTGCACGCTGGAACTCACGAATCGAGACCTCTTGCTCTTCTGGAGAGACGACGTCTTGGAAAGCTTTTGCGACAACCTTGCACGCTTCTTGGTACTTTATCCTGTTTTGTTGCCGAGTGCAAAGCCACCGTACAAAACGGCACCAAGACAGCAGTCAATTGGTCAGTGTCCTGGTATGCCACTTACGTACGTTTACAAGGGTCACCGAGCAAATTCTCGCGGGACGTCTGTCTGACCTCCCCGGCTGGGGCCGACAGTGACGTGCCTCCGGCTTTGCATCCCTCTGGCTGCTGGCCTGCAAAGCAAGTCTTTCACGCTAGTCATTCGCGCAAGTCACTGCCAGAAACGCGTGCTCTCCTGTAGAGGTCGCATCAAAAAAGCATGAATGAAAAATCATCCGATGTCGGTCCTCAGGCATCATCATAGAATGGGCACATCGAGCATGCAATATGGAGCAACACAAACCAGAACTGTCAACAGGGGTGACGGACGGCCAACTATGTAGAGATTCTTGTGAGATACAATGCGTGCTTGTGGTGCTGCCGTGAGGTTATGCCAAGGTGTGCTAAAGGATCAAGATCAATTTGATGACAATAGAAATGCTTCACATGTCACAATGAGACAATGCCTCCCACTGCTTGTAGTCAGCATCTGCGATCTGGCTGACTCTACTCCCCAAGCAGAAATCAGATGAACCCAGCCAGTCCTCAACGCATATTTGAGAAGGCGTGCACGAAAAAGAGCTCAGCAGAATCTCAAAATAAGCCCAGCTTGGCGCATTTCGAAGCACTTCAGCCCACAGAAGGGCGGCATTTGCCAGTAAGGGTCCCAGGAATCTCGGAACTCAGTGAGCCTTGGATCGGAAGGTGTCGCCAAAGACGGCTTCGGCCTGCACCAACTCTTTGGGCTTCAAAAGGTGGACCAGTAGCAATGTCTTGCCGTGCGCCGAGTATGACTTGAGACCCTTCACCCCAACTGGCAGTGTGTCAAAATGGGGGCAAAGCTGCCCTTCCGAGTATCTGGGTTCTTTTGGCTGCAATCACCGGGCTTTATGATATCAACTCACAAGAGTCGGCGGTTTGTTCGAGCAGTGCTTCTCAAAAGCAACGAGCTATGACTACTGATGAGCTGACCTTGAAGTAAAGCGTTTTCGCAAAGGATGGCCATTTTAACATGCTTGTCGAATGGCCTTCAGGATGTATTATATATATTTAAAAAAAAAAAAAAAAATGTTTAATTTAATATATATATATATAATTATAATTTAATATAATAGTTTTTTGAATATATTTAAAAATACAAAGCATATTTAATATATCTCTCGCCATTGCATTGGGCTCTCGTTCGCTGTTTCACCGGAATCCCATCCGCCTTGGATCCAACTGGCCGCACCGACCTCAGCGCACTCTCCGTCCGGGGGCCGGCAGGTTGCAATCCAATGGTTGTGACAAGGCAACAAAAGGGTCTTGACAGCCAGCAAAAAGAGTATGTAATCATTCGTGGCGACAAGTAAGTCAAAATGAAACCTGGCATTAAAGGGGTCCACACCTTCCCTTACGAGCCTTCACGCACCCGGGTTTTGAATGTGGCCGCGCTTCCCATGCGTCAAGCCTGGGGCTGCGGCCAACGGCTCCCGATCGTTTTTCCACGCGCGCGGGGGCCGTCCTGCGACCTCAATCCGACGGTCCAGACAGAAACAAACATGGGTGAAAACTGAAAGCCAATCACATCCATGGTTGGAGGACAAATACGGGCAGGTCACTGCCAGCAAACGATCGGTGCTGATTCAAGGCATTTAGCAAACACAGGTTTTGGGGTCGACCATTTTGAGGCAACAGCCACCGACGGCTCGAGAAACCTTGGGCCACTGCAGCGTGTCTTGCCACGGCCAGTTCCTGTTGGGGCCGAGATTGGCTTCAGGAAAGGCTTTGTTTTGAGTGGTTTTCTGTTTCAATCTTGAAGCATGACCCAATAAAAACTCATCATACTTGCATATTGTAAACGTAAACATAACCTACGAGGAAAAGATAGCCCAATTATTTTCACAAGCGGGCTTTGCGGCACACGAATCAAACAAACAGGCGCAGCCACTCCAGCTCAACTCAGACGCACCACGTCCGAGTCGTAGATATATACTCAACCTTATGCATATATCAAAATGCCAAAATTCAAAACTTAGACAATCCGGTCTCGATAACTCATTTCTCTTTTCCTGTCTTCAGAAGGCTGTTGGGGAAGTGCACATGCTGAAACAAAGAGCAGATCAAGCGCGTGATACTCACAGTACCCACTGGCTCGGTGCTGGACATTCAGGGCAGATCAAGCGCGTGATACTCACAGTACCCACTGGCTCGGTGCTGGACATTGCACCTATGCCGTGCGCCCGAAACTACCCCCACTGGCTCGGTGCTGGACATTGCACCTATGCCGTGCGCCCGAAACTACCCCCGAACTTGAAGGGCATTTGGGTGGGCGGGAAAGTTCAAGGACGGGCCCAGAACAAAGAGGGGAACCCGCTGTTGCTGCCCTTCAGAGCCAGCACCTACGGGATGCTTGCCGAGTGGGTGTCTGCTCGAGTGTGCGGTTGTTTGTGGCTGCAGCGCTCCCGAACAAATCGAGGGGGGAAACCACAAACAAACCCGAAGCAAAACCCTTCTTTCAGAAAATAAGGCGATCATCCCTGCGGGATTGACCACTTATTTTCACAAGCGGGCTTTGCGGCACACGAATCAAACAAACAGGCGCAGCCACTCCAGCTCAACTCAGACGCACCACGTCCGAGTCGTAGATATATACTCAACCTTATGCATATATCAAAATGCCAAAATTCAAAACTTAGACAATCCGGTCTCGATAACTCATTTCTCTTTTCCTGTCTTCAGAAGGCTGTTGGGGAAGTGCACATGCTGAAACAGAGGGCAGATCAAGCGCGTGATACTCACAGTACCCACTGGCTCGGTGCTGGACATTGCACCTATGCCGTGCGCCCGAAACTACCCCCATTCCAATTGGCACGGTCATAAGAAGTCCAGGACCGCGCCCCACTGCACGCACACACGCTCCACCCCCTTCTGCAAAAGAGAATTGAATTCAAGCCGGCTTGGACTATCTGCTGGGTTGGAATGAGTTGGCACCCTGCCAAACCAGGGCCTCCACTGATAGTGGCGTTCCATGGCAACGAAGCGGTCTACGATTGCTGATGCCGGCGCGGTCCCTCCGCATGCGCGGATCAGCGCTGATCGCGCAGCCTCGTTGTCACAATAAATCACTACAAAGCCCTCCCTGGTTTGGTGACCCCACAATGAAGCCGCCAGGGCGCATGCAAGGAGCTCCACTTCATATATGGGGTGGTCAGAGGTTTTCTTGAATGCTGAAATCACCTCAACTGGCACCTTGTCTCCGAAGAATTGAACGAAGGACCCTACCGAGTTTGCCAAGATCCCGCCCACTGAACGCTTTCAAAGGCTCCCAGTGAAGATAAACCACGAGTCGTGAGACCTGGTGGAAACGGTCAATGGTGCGGGGTCCTTCACTTGGCACAACAAGGCTCTCAAAGCTTCCCTTAAGCCGGGACTCAAGTCCCTTTGGCTACCGCGCTCGCTAGTTCGCTCCCCAATTACTTTAAGCGCTTTCTTGGCCACGCGCCCAAAGATGTAGGAGTTAAACCACACAAGCCTACCCCGCAGAGATTCGGCTTCCCTTGAAGTCAAGGCGCCTTCCCTCAGGATCCTTTCAATTGTTGCAACCAGGTCGGCTCTGCGTTCTTCGGTGTGGTGGATTTCAACAACTCCTGAGTCAACGGACCTCAAATCCAACTTAAGACCCAGAAGTTTGAAAGCTGGCTGAAAGGGCAAGAATTTGGGCCCTGAGGCGGCGTATTCGAACCCAAGAATGTCAAAAAGCCCGCAGGCTGCATGCGTGGCGTTGTCTGCAAGACACTCTCTAGACATGATGGAGTAGTCGTCAAAGAAGGATGTCCACGGAAGCCTGGCTCCGACCATGCCCAAGGTCCACACTGCCACTGCGATGCGTAGGAACGCTGACACTGATCCCACTGCCCCAAATGGTAAGGCGTTGAATCCGAAGATTTCGGCCTTGCCAGAAGCAGGGTTTCTGACGCAAAACCTAAGTCTTGCCCTCTCATCCGGATGCACTGCAAATTGTTTGTAAGCCGAGGTTAAGTCAATGGTTCTTCCTACCATGTCCAGGCTGCCTGACCGCCCGAGAGAACCCAAAGACTTAATTAAGAACATGGGTTATATACGAGACAAGTTCGTCTATGACCATTAGACGAAACTTTTCTTGCAGCCCACACGTCGAATTAAATCCAGATGTTAGGTCATCGATAACTCGCACCTTTGACTTTTGTTGAAGGCCGAAGCGCTTGGACAAAGAGACGCGAGGAGGAAGTGTTTCTTTTGCCCTCCACACCCAGCCATGTTGCAGCTCCAAGATGGTCTCATTCCAAGCCGCGCTGTGCAAATCATTCCTTGTAGACTCCTGCTAAGGTGGCAACATTCACCCCCGTAGCAGATCCCAAGAGCGACTCAATTGTCCTGCTAGGAGGCTTGGAGCCTGCTGCAAACACTCCAGATCTAGTCATCCACCCTGACAACTTGAACCCAGCGATGATTTCATCCGCTAGTCCCTTGTCAGGGTAGTTTATAAATTCAAGCATTTCGCGCAGCAGAAGCAACCTTTTTTTTCTAAGAAGACGACTAATGTAGTCCGGCATCGACTGCTTCAATGCTCCTTCTGCGCCGCACAATTCTGCTGCTCGCGAAGCCCACCTCCGAAAGAAACTTGCTCTCTGCTCGGCCACTACATGTGGGGCCTCCAGGAAGTTTAGCCTGAGGGTCTCCTTGACTTCGGCGTCAAGGAAACTTTCCAAGTCTCGTGGATGCCCAGCCTTAGCTGCTTCGGCTACAAAGTCTGCTGGCTCACGAGGGTTTGCTACAATCACTTTTTCCACTGGGGTCTCTGTGTGCCACTGTTGACTTGCCTTCATGCACACTCCGCTCACACTACAAGAGCTGTCTTCCCCTTCTGCCATTTGTTGAGCGGGTGTGCAGCTTTGACTGACTGAGACGCAGAGCGCGGCCGCAAAGCCTGCGCACGTGGCACAACCATGGCCAACTATTGCTGCCGAGCACAAGCAAAGCTCTTGGCACTCCCTGCGCGACGACTTTCCAGCTGTGGTGACATCCAAGCACGCGTGCACAAGTCCCTGGTTCTGGCAATGTCCTTGCAGCACACGTGTGTCACAAGCGGGATTCACACCACTGCAGACTCGCACCTGCCCCCATTTCACAACTCTGCGGTGGGTGACTCGAGAACCCTTGGGGTAGAGGCTAAGCACACAGGACTGCGCCAGAAACGTCCACCATGGCAAAACACTACCCAGAACAAAGAGGGGAACCCGCTGTAGAGCCAGCACCTACGGGATGCTTGCCGAGTGGGTGTCTGCTCGAGTGTGCGGCTGTTTGTGGCTGCAGCGCTCCCGAACAAATCGAGGGGGGAAACCACAAACAAACCCGAAGCAAAACCCTTCTTTCAGAAAATAAGGCGATCATCCCTGCGGGATTGACCACGTCATCCTATGTTCATATCTGTTTGCTTTGCATCTTCAAGAGCTTCCAACATGCGAAGTGACGAGGAGCGAAGGAAGTAATGGAAGACGATCAAAGAATGTTGGATCACAAAACATATATTGCTTGCCAAGGAGGAATAGAAAGGCAAGGATTTACAGATAGCCGTCTATAACCAAGAATTCTTGACCATTGACTGCCAAGAAATAAATCATCCAAGAAGCACTCTATCTCTCATGGACACTCACGAACAAAGGGAGGAGCGGGAATGGAGAAATGGGAAGCATTATTCTTCCTTCATCTCTTCCTTATTCACCATCTGTCTCTCCCTTCTTCACTCACCCTTGCCCTTTCTATATCTCTTCCACATTATCACCCAACCTCTGTTTCCAACACAAAGAGTTGGATGATAAAGGGAGATGATGGAAAAGGAAGGGATGGATGCGAATGGAGGCACTTCCCGTCTGTTCATCCTGGAATTTGGCAAGCCTCCATCATATTGTCGTTACAGCAGGTTAATCCTGATGGCGGCACCAATGATAAAAAGATGATTCTCTAGTCTTGGTTACACGGTACAATCTCATATCTTAGTCCTTTCTGTAGTGGTGGTTCGTCCAAAAGTTACCTAAAGCATATTATATATTTGTTGCATCACTTTGAAGTTACATGCGGTCGAAAGAGGAGAGACAAGGCATCATATGAATATGTTTCCTACATCCATCATTTCCTGCTCTTGGAAGTTGATGAAGGGCTAGTGCTCCTTCCCTTGCCAATTGACTTCTTACATCCCTTCATGCCTCGCAAAGAAGACACTGTAAGGCGGGATGGATTCTAGAGTCATATCATTTGCTCTTTCTCTTTTCTATGGTATGTTCACCTGGCGGTGTATATACACAGAGAAGCACCACGTCCCATTATTTAGTATGTATGTTCAGATCGATCTACTTGTTCCCCAAGAGGACATGAGTGGTCCCCTGGTTTTTGTGGGCAAATTGAGGGTTCGTCCCCGATGCCCTCCCGAATGGACCATAGACAAATCTGCGGCGCGGGCCATGCGGCGGCTTTCCTCAACTGTTTCTGCCACTAAAATGTCTTCCTGAAAAGTACCAAGTCCATGAAACTAGACGAAATGACAAGGATGGCCTGGTGGACAGTTGCAGCCTGATGACAAATGGCAAACCTTGAGAACTTTTTGACACCCATATACACACACCTAGATTGACATCGGAGGCTGGTTGCGGCAAAGCCTGCACAGGCTTCCTGGGCAGGCCCATAGTGGTCACAATGCATCCTATCTTCACGTTGGCCTTGACTGGCCTCTCATCAACTCTTTCTAAGCAAGGGTGCGTGGCAAGCTTCGAAGTCCGTCCCTCGCCTCCCTCCCTCTTACACCCCGCACCGGAGCAATGCCTGGTGGCCTCAGCTATCTTGGCTGCCTGGGGCTTTGCCAGGCGACTTCGGCGCACTCTAAGACTGGCAAAAAAGAAAAAAACAGCTTGCCGACGGCAAAGAAATAGATCCTATTCTGCGTGACTTCAAGGAAGATGACAAACAAGCTCATATGACAGTGAAGCAGTATCGAGCCTGGGCAATGAAACAAAATCATCCGGGAAAGGGGGATCCCCAATCGCCAAACAAGTGCGAATAGGAAACCCGTACAAGATGACGCCAAGGCCGGCAGTCGTATTTGTTAATGTGCCATTTCTGAGAACAGACATGCAGCTATTCGGCTGCCTACTTTCCACCATGTTACCCATGGTATCTGAACCAAGCCGGAATATGTTCTCTGTGAGAAACTTCGAACGACCTCCTTGGTAAGCTGTAAGGCCAAGCAGGTTTTCGCCACGGCACAAACGAATCTACGTGTTTTGTCGAATGGGAACATCAAAATGGGTCAGCCTGGTTCGTAACTCAATGCGGGCGACCCAAACACTTGAGACCAACACCTGCTACAACTATGACGTCCTTTTCATCATCCGCAAATCCCAATGATGCCCATTCAACCAAGATTCAGGTAGGATCACAACAACACAACATTCGTCAATCTTTGCGGAACTGTGCGCCACTAAGCCACAGTCCTGCTCAGGAATGGCATGATGTCCTTTTACAGCTCATGATGTCAAGCTCAGAGGCGCATAGCCCCCCAACCCTATACACTACACCAACCGTGGCGCGTTGGAAACCTTTGTTTTGGAACCTGATTGAACCCGAATGGTTTCCTTGCACCCTTTTCCTCGCAAATTTCTGCATGGTGGCATCCCATTTCTTGGCAACACCCGGGTGGACGCTCCCTCGCCTTGACCGACGCCCGCAGTGGGCGCAATCCCCGCCGGTCCATGACAACGGCACGCCAACTGATCGGGCTCAAGCCCAGCAAGGAAAATCCCCTGCAAA